ATTTTTTCCACTTACTTGGATGTAACTGTCAATTAGAATTTATCAAAAGAAAAAGGATGTCAATTTTTTTATAAAATTAATGAGTTATTATTTCCAAACAATAAAGGAAATATATATTTGCGATTTAAATGAAGCTGACTATAGCTATAGTTGTATTCCATTGAATATTCGTTTTACTCAACATACAACACGTTTAAGATATGTTTCCCCTTAGAAATAAAGTATTGATTCAAGACAGATTTGTGTTAGTGCCTAAACGAATGAGAAAGGGCGACGTAAAAACAGTTAACTTTTTCATTGATTTTCAAAGTTAAATTCGCCTTGTATAGTTGATATCTGAATAAACCTCAGTATGGATTCGGAAAATTGTTAGTATTAGCAAATTTGCACCATTCGTGACGTAATCATTATGTTAGAAAAGAAAAGGCGTGTATACTAGAAGGAAATTCACTTAGTTCTACTTTATGGCTGTAAAACACTGCCTATGAAAGTTAAAAACAAAGGTGGTTAGAAGGCTTTTCATAGCAAATGCCTCTGCAACATTCCTAGTGGTTCATCAAACGATTAAGTGAGCGATTTTGGCTGAGGTTTGACTCACAGTACCACGCAAAAGTGAGGAACCGGTTGATGAGATTGTAAATCGTCATCGGATGAGATGGTCAGGCTATATGTAACATGTGCCTAACCACTGCTTAAAGCGCCGACTCACGCTTGCTGATGTAAATGTATGTTAGTAGAAAACTATAAGTGACCAAACCAAGATACAACATCAGTCTGTAATGTCTGGTACTATTTCAAGCAAACATGCGTTATTCTAGCCTATGAACGGACCGACTTATTCATTCTTTTCGTGCCATATTTTGGTTGTGGAGCTTTCATCGTTCGTCTGAACGACATCATCGGCACAAACTTCAGGTAAAAGTGAAGTGTTCAAATTTCTCCACATAAGGTTCACAGCTTGTCCTTTACACTTCAATGTTCAACATTTCACTTCTATCTGAAGTTTGCGCTGATGATGTCGTTCAGAAGAACGGTGAAAGCTCCACAACCAAACCATCCAGCTCAAAGAACAAAACTCCATCTAAATCATCCACCTGAGCTACAAATCTCTACCATCTCATTCACCTTCCTTACTTTGCTTCGTTTTTCTTTTTCCTTAAGATATTCTGCATTTTGCTTTCTCCATTCGTTTCTTTAGTTACCTGCCCGAATCAATGAATGTACGAAATATACATATTAAAACTCCATTCTACTGTTTGACTTATTTTATTGTTATTCTCCAACGTGAATTAAGTCAGTAATTATGTACGAAGGTAACCGAGATATATATTTCGATAACATTGTTTTACAATCAAACCGGAGTCAGATGAAGGGCCACAAAAGTCCATGAATTGACTGACTGTCGGTGTAAGCACACTGGTTAGTGCATATTACTTGGTTGGGAGTTGTGTACTCTAATCCTAATTAGTGAATTATCCGAGACTTTAAGTGTGATGGTTTAGAATCGCTCACACTGATACAGACGCATTCAATCTTTATTTTCTTCTCGATCCTGTGTTCCTTCATACATACGTTTTCATAGTGTCTTCCCGAATTATAAATTAACTGTTGGTTTGCGGTTGTAATTGTATAACCAACAAATAAAAATCTACAAACTATAATTTTAGTATCAAACATTAGATCAGTTCAAAAATGTAAGAAATTTAAATTTCTCGTCAGTCTATAAACGTTTAATTAACATAAACCTGACTTATATTTCATTAGTAAACCCCATTTGTCTCATAAAAATTACTTAGTTAAAACAGTAACGTGAGACTGGAATGAAAATTAATCACCAGTAAGCATATGATCCATAGTAGTACACAAAGTTGTGGAAAATTAAATTCCTTTAATTTGAACACGTAAAATCAAGCGGCACTAGACAGCTATACTGTCAACATAAGGGATCTAACACAGGATCTTCAGACGATTGAGTTAACATACATTAGGATTTACATTTCCAACTTAAAACAGTTCGCAAATTCCACTAACATCAATGATAACTATCCCTTGTTCAATATAATTGAACTATTCCAACCAAAACTTATCTACAGAAGAACAGTGAATTCATCTCGTATTTACATTTTCGATAACTTTAACTTTAGCAGTCATAGAAAACAGTCAAAAATCAGCACTGTTATATCAATCTAATACTCTACTTAACTTATCTCAAATCCTTCATACTAAACTAACAATAAACATAAAAGAGTAACCGGTAGTAAAAACAAAGAATATCGAAAAAACATACTGTAGCGTGAGAATTGCTCATTAACTTGTATTAATCATGTAAATCTGATCATATTCATTCTTTTCATTTTATCACTAAAAACAAAGTTTAGTTGTTAGATAACTAAACAGTTAGCTATTGACATATTATGATTACTAATTGACTGATTGTTAGTGTGTTTAGCTTCATTGTTGTTTTTTTCCTTAATTCATTCATATAGAATCTTGTAAATATATCATTCTAATGAATAATTGCCTAGAGAATAGTTTTAAATATCTAGAAAAATTCTTTTGATCTGAAATTTTTTTCAAAAAAAAACTTATTTCACAGTTATATATAGATATTGACGTATATATTATGAAGTTCAAAAGAATTGCGGCATTTTCAATAAAGTTTTCTAAGAAATGGGTCAAAAGTTATCACTAGAATTGATACTATTATTCCCACAAATACCACCGTCCTATGTTGTAGCTGACTGACTGACTGACAAATAGCACCACTAATAATAATAATTCCTATGATTGTAGCTATATGTAATTGACTGTATATAGTATAAATTTTTAAAATAAAATTACTTTAAAACTTATTTACTGATCATTAACGACTTAAAGTACAATTAATCATGTAAATAGATTCATGGAAATTATTCGACTATTGTGAATCATAATTGAATGAATTCAATATTTCATTATGTAAATATATTAATTGAATGGTATAGTATTTGTATCAAACGTTTACATAACATCTTTAGAAATATCTACTTATATTAATAGTATATAAGATGTATGAAATAAATAAATAGAATTCTAGTTATTTTCAGTTTGTATGTAAACAAGAATTGAGGATTTTCCTTGAAAAAGCTTGGACCAGATTGCCAGGCGAAACGTTGGATTTACTTCAAATTCTTCAGCTGAGATTTTACAAAAACATTCTTCCTCTTTATTGAGGATTTTGGTTTAAAATTTAAATACAACAGGTCTCATATAAAATTATTTTACCTGACATATAATTCCTTATTGTATGTACAAAAATAACATACCTTGTTCCAAAAACGGTCTTGTATTTAGATATTATTATTAACTGACAATATTATGTTTTATATGTCTAATATTTTTCGAAAATACTAATACATGCACGGTTTAGATAACTACCAAAATGTATGAGAACATTATAACGTCTGTATCACATCACTTCTTTTATACATTCGAGACAAATCTATTAACTACTTGTATTCACAAGCGATATCATATTTATGATTCCTGAAAATATCAACCACTATGTACATTTATACAACTTATTTTAATTAAGGGCCTTGTAGGAAGTTGATAAGATTTTAATAAATTTATTCACAAACGGACATAATGTGGTGAACTACAAAAAAACAGAAGACGACCAGCTCCCAGTTTCTTGCACACGTAGGACCTCACTCAAATCTTCCAACGAACACAACAATTTTTATTAATTCAACTTTATTGATAACTAGGCTTTCATTGAAATGCACGGCAAATAGGAACTCAAATAACATGTTATTTCAAAAAAGTATACTTTATTCAAGAAAGGATTACAATATTAATCTAAACCCTATTAAGAATATATTTGATTTTCGATTAGAACTCATTTCAAACAATTTTATTGGTAACCCATAAACAGACAAATCTGAGATTAGTAAGACTTGTTCAAATTTCAATCTACATATAGTTTGTAGTTGTTACCATATATGTATTAAATCGGAAATATCTAATATATGTACGTAAAGATTATCAGTGAATTAACTATAATGTGTAACAATTAGATAAATAATTTGAGACCCATATAACTAATGAGATGTGTAGAAACATGTTGGATTATATTTTATGCTTCATTATGCAATATGTCTTTTAAATATATTTTCATTGGTTATTACGTTTGACTGCTCGGCAAAAAGCAGTGAATTCAGTGAAAATTCAGCATATTTAAAAAACACTGAATATCATAGAGCTTGATAGCCTTTAAGAGTCAAACAATATGAAAAATTTGCGGTTGCTTTGAAATTTGATCAGCATACTTATGGTTTTATATGCTGTTCAAGTGTCAGAGTATGTTGTCTGTTTCAGAAAAAGTATAAACCATCCCAATATATGTTTAAGAAATCATACCACTATTTCAAATATACATCGCGATATACTAAATAATGCGTTACGATGAATGAATGTTGGGTCATAGACCAAGACAATAAAAGACTGATATTTCATCCACATCACTTAGTGGTTAGTAAAGGATTACCATTCTAATATTCATTAATATAAGGATTTCAGTTATACAGGAAGACAGATGAAACCCAAATTTCTAAATAGTGGCGTTTTTAATAAAGGATGATACACTCATGATATAACCTCCGTCGAGATGGTAAATACACTTTCCTGATGAGTGTCAACTATCGTGCAACAAAGATAAAAAGCTTCTGGCCGATTCCATTTCACAACTTAACACCACACCGATGGCGGTAGCTTATAAAGACAGATTACATGTTTTCGATCATAATAATAATAATAATAATAATAATAATAATAATCCAAAATGTGACATGTTTTAATGATACAATCGACTTATAGCAACAATATTCAGAACTAATACTATTAATTTACCTTTAAAGACAAAGTTCTATTTACTAAGCTGTATAACAAAACTTCAAAGTCAACATCAGAAGTAAACAGAGTGTAAACAAGAATTATAACCTTTTTCATTAAAAAAAGACCCAAAATTAAGCATAGAAGTAAATTGATCTCTGTTCACAAAATTTATTCAATGTATTCACGGTTTTTTCCCCGTAAAAGAGATTACACCGTAATCTTTTTTTAGAAAACAAACAACAGAACGTTTATGATTAGTTGAAACAATAGTCACATATACACGTGAAAATCAATCACAGATTAGAATTACAGTTTATGCAAATTAAATTTTTAAAAAAGGAAAGTAAACAACAATAAGCACATAAAAAGATAATCACCACGAAAAGGTGAATTGCTGGTATACTTTTGTGTATCTGTGTGATTTGGGGTGGGAATACACGAGAAAATCACCATTATCCTGTGACCATTGATTCTCGACGTGGTGATTGAAGTGTAGTTAAACCATTAATTAATAAACGCATTTTACTTCTTTCTTTTTCAAGCAATTTCGACAAATGTCTAACAAATATGAAAACACAAGAGGAGACATGTTCAAAGTTAAGTAAATCATGACTACATGTAGATATCCTGACAGTAATAGACTATCAGTGAGAAATCGTAACAAACGGCATATATATATATCACTATCTAGCAAGATATGGAGTTACAAGACAAAGTATACTACAACTGCTTTGAAATAACTGCTTAATTTACAGGATAAAAGCTGATACTATACTGTTTTTCTTTTAAAATAATTAATGAATATTTTATTAAGCATCAATTCCGAAACTGTAAGTTTTATAACACAAATTCTAAAACGAATGGTGTGATTATCCTTAAAAGGCATTACAATTTTAGACTACATACCCTTCAACATAAAGATGATGCACATTAAAGTTGAATTTTGGAGTCATGCCTTAAGAAAGAATTGAGCTTCAATAGTTTTCATGTAATTGGTATCCTACACCACAAACGTTAATAAAAGACAAGCTAAGATAAACTCAAGAAATGATTAGAAGTATATGTTATCCTTTAATAAATGATACAAAGACATGATAGCATGTTACCCCTCTCCTACGAAAACGCCTTAAAAGTATTTTTGACCCCTAAGCTATTATTATGCGATTTACCGTTTTTGAGTTATGCCCAGTCTATTAATTACAGTTTCTCACATTCACAGCCACTTTTGGTTAGGTCCTGTACAAATGTTGTTTTCTATTTTGTGGTGCAATGTGATCTGTTTGGTTTGTATATAAACCCAGTATATTTGAAATACGCGATTCATATCGCCGGAGTTTAGATTGGTGTTCTGGACTAAGTGACAGGGTTTTGCAGGAAGAAGGATCGATAAGGACTCGAAACTATTCGTACAGGTTTGTACGTTATTGGTGCGGTCGATAAGTCAATGTTCTCTAATTCGCAGTATCATTACGTTATGCATTAATAGGGTACAAGGCCACAAGTTATAACAATTTTGCGCATGTGACTGTATCGAATTTAGCTAGTGAAATTATAGGGATATTAAATGCCTAATCAATGCTTTTAATGAGCATACCTATTAAAATAACCTCTTTAAGACAATTTAAATTGTTAACTTAAACAGCATCTATTGAAATCAGTAGATCGTCAAATAACTTATCACTTGTATAACGACAAACCTATCAAAGTAATTTTTGCAGCTTTAGTTTCGTACCCAATGTTTCGTTCTTTTATTCCTAGTTGTACATGACTAAAATTACTTTTTCATAGCTCTAGAGATGAGCTCGGATACACGTATCACACATCAATACGATGTCCTAGTCGCTCTGAAAAAATTAATGATTCCTACCTGATGCCTCACACTGTTGTAATCTTTTTGATAAATGTACTCCTCAAATGATTTTTGAACTACATTATTTCACACAGTTACACTTTACATCTATGTACTTCAGATGATATAACACAGCCTTCTGTGTCAACCTGATCATACCTATAAACTATTACATGGTTCGTTTCTAAGTTATTGTTGTTCTCTGTTAGCCGTATAATTTAACTATGAATGTGTCACAATCTCTTTCAACATAACAACAACATTATAAGTACATACTCTGAGAGAGAAAAATATTCATTAAAAAAATATATAAATGAGATAATCAATTTACTGAGATTCTTCACTTCCTAAATAATTGAATACTGGAGATATTTTAATCTTATAACAAGAGCATATTGTGTTTAATAGTTTATTTGATTCATTTGTAAATAAATAATTCGGTAAAATTAATTTAATTGCATTCAAATCCAGAGTTAATTGTAATTGAGCGAATTGTGACCAATCCGATATATTACGTTCACTTAATAGATAAAAAGACAAACAAAACAAACAAGAAAAAACAATCATTATTAATAATAATAAGTAATTTGATAAGACTGTGATAAAATGAAACACACTTATACACAAATAACCGTTATATAATTTAAGTTATCCATAATCACATCAAGTTAACCTAATCGATAGGATTTGATCAGTACCAAAGTACAAAATAAAAAAAAGAATATTGATTACTGCTTAGCGATTGAGTTCTTGTGAATATTTCGTTCCTACAATATAGATCAATCAGGGCAAAAATATCTCAATATTCAACATCTTGAACATTAGTTCTCCAAAGGTTGCAAATATGCTTTGTTGATGAATGATGACTAGCGTGAAATCTAAGTTTAATGCTTCCTGTTGACCGCTTCCAACCATCTAACACCCCAACATAGTACGAGCGATACTTAATCATTCAGACTAATGACTACATTGCAAACTGATTACTAGGATTCGATCAGCACTACAGAACTCGACAAATAAACATTGATACAAAGGGGCACCAAATACATATGCGCCATACAAATCATTCGGACAATGTGAGGGCTGGAATACTGCTGGCGTGGCCAAACCGAAGTAGGTGGTTTTCTTAAAGGGCCACTCCCCGACCCTTTGACCTGAAGGTTTAATCAAGTGGAACAACGTCAGAAGATACAGTCCCATGGTAACCGGGGACCAACAATAGGTTAATATACAATTTCTTCCTTCAGGATCCCAGAACTCATGTGCACCATTGGTTTGGAATCATGGTTTTCCAACTTCCTAGTTGCATCGTCCATATCCACCAACCCGGTTAAAGCATAGGACATTCCTTTTTCGTCCTCTCAATTACGTAAGCAACACCCTTGCCTCGAGAATGTATTGAGTAGGACTTCGCTGACAGTGGCTGTATACACGTAGTCATGTAAGAGCATTTTGAGAGGATAAGCTGAATCTCCCCACCCTCGGCCGTACCAGGGCATTTTGGTGCCTCAAAATACTTATAAATTACTAATCATGGTGAGGTTTTTGCATATAGCAGCTTTAAGCCGAAAATATTTTGTCTGTCTACAAAAAGCATATACACAATATACTTATTTGTAAGACTACTTTATAATCAACTATACTACCAATTCAACTAATATTTCCATTTAATAGTTGAGTTCATGAGTCAATTAAATTTAGAAAACCATGGAAAACCTGGAAGCACTGGGCGACTGTTTCGTCCTAGAATGTGACTCTATAGCAGTGCGCATCTGTGATCCCTCTCGCGGAATTCGAACCGAGTATCTATCGGTCTCGCATGCGAACACCTGACCTGTAAACCACTGGGCCGCCATCCAACAGCGTTAATGTTTAACTTTAACCAATCCACATATTCGCGCCAGCGTCCACCATTGTCTCCAGTGAGTTGTTATCTCACAACAGACCCGGTTGAACTCCACTGGTCAAAGCTTCTCACTAGAACTTCAGGAAATACCTCTTGAAGTTAGTCATTAGTGAGCACATGATGATTGTTATCAGAAGTGGGTTTTGTGAATATCGTAGTATTTTCACAGTTGAACTTACGTATTGAATGCACATATTTGTTTATTTTATAATGTTAATCACTTTTGAATTTCATTACCTTTAAATGACCTCGTAATTATTACTTCCCCACATATAAATACCTACCGATCTTGACCCTGTTTATTCACATACTTTGTATCCTCATTCTTCTGATTATACTATGATTTTGGTTACGTTACGAACAATTAACAAAACTTCACGAATTAAAATATTGTAAACTTTTGCTAATAATTGTATTTATATTAGTGATTGTAATTTAAGGTTGTATATAGCTGATGAAAAACTATGAAATAGGATGAATTCATTTTATTCTGTAAACTTTGTTGTTATTGCTTTGTTTAAATCAAAACAAAAACTATTTGACCTACACTAAGACAAATGACAATTATTATTGCAACAATATAATAATGTTTCATAGTTTAATCCCTTTTGGAGTAGGTGTTCTTCCGTATTTGTTAACAAATGTTTCATAAATATTATAATGTGAACGAATCAAAAGTTAATTTATTTCATTTAAATGTTTAAAAAAGAAACGCACCCACATATAGAGTCTTTATTTACTATTGTCAATAATACCGATATACTATGACGGATACATCAAAGTAGAAATGATAAACAAAATATTTATTCTCAAAAAACAAAAACAAAAAAAAAAGTTCAACCACACAAAATCAAAGTTTTTAATTTTTAATCCATAAACCAGATATGATAATAGAAAATGAATAAAATGTCAAATAGGAAAAGTTTACAAATAATATTCAGTATAATTTTCAACAAAAAAAAGAAACTATAAGTGGTAACAATTGTGAAATTAATCCTAAACTAGACAAATCTATGATAAAAGTAAGATAGTTTAGTTACCTCTTCATTAAATAGTATTCCTAACAATCTTAATAAAACATTTTAAAATAATTATTAATCATGATTACTTTATTTGGTTGTTAATGTGATCGATAGAGCATTATCTTTCATTATAGAAACAAATAAGAACTAATAATTAATTGACTACACATTCAAAAATAAGTCATCAATTCTTTTCGATGACCAGTGATTTATTTTGAAGATAATTCATTCTATATTAACAATATTCTAATGTTGATGATTTCCCTCAAAGTCTAATTGTAGTGAATTAAGACTTGATGTGAGGATAACTAATTTATTGTTTAATGCAAAATTATAGAGTGCTTTTGTAAAATATGAAAAGCATACATTAAATACATCATTTGAACATATTCCTTCAGTTGTCCTGAATATACTTCATGATTCTTTGAATTTTGTTGTTAATACAATTACTCACTGTTAACATTCCTGTTCTCTTTAATTCAATCTTCTCAACCTTCTACTACAAAGCATTCCACTTCTGACTTGTGTTACATACTACTTATCTCTGCATACACTACATTATGACCTGAAAATTCTTGTGCATGATCAAAACAGAATTTACTGCAACTGATCAACGATATGTTTTGAGTTGCAATATTTAAACTTTATGTTGAAGTCAGCTAATTAAAACTGTAGTAGTTATCAGTAAAAATTTTAAAACAATTTAATAAATATTTACTTGCTAATCAAATATCATCACTAATTATGTAATACTGTACAAGTATTGGATGTAACAAACCGTAATTGTCAATTGGAGCTATGTTGATAAGAATTATGATGCCACTTGAATGAATAATTTTTTGAAAATTCAAAACAAGTTGTAATGTAAGTATTCAAAATCATCTAAAGTCTTCATTTACCTACACCTATTAGTTAAATGTACATGATAGCTATCTTAGTATAGTTTAACATAGTATTCAACGGTGAACAGGAATGATAAACTAAATGTAATAAATTGAAAACCTGAACTGGTAGAATTCTATGATTTACAGTGCCTTATATGTTCGTGGAAATCCATGTGATTGACGCATTTAAGACCGAGTTATACAAAGAAAGCGAGCGAGAAATGTATAAATGAATATAGAACTGTAAACCAGCTAATGAAAAGGGGGTACTGATAACAACAAAGATACAGAAAATTCTAATATTGCATATCAAAATATATATCAATAACAAAGTACCTATTTATATTGTTTTTACCAAGCTTAAGATGAATTAAAGGTGTAAACTGAAATTATATTTATTATGTCATCTGAAAGTGATTCTTGATTACCTAATTACACATTACGTCGATAAATAGTTGAGATTCAAATCATTCACCATTATTTCTCTTAATTTTAAATGAACAGTCAATGTAGTATATTTGGATTCATTTTCAATTCAGTCTATAGATATTGTAGTCAACTGGTTGATATCAATCAAAATAACTGGCTTAAACCCAGACCCAATAAAACAATTATTGGTGATAGCCAATAGATCATACTTTTAACGATGGCATCTTTATTGAGAACTTTAGTGCGGAATAGAACATAAGTTATTGCTTGAATAAAATTTGAGAAGAACAGTATCAATACTTTTTATCCAAGAATCCTATTTAATCAATTTACAAAGTACAAATTAGTCTTCGGAGCTCAAATTTGGAAAGATAAATAATGAGCAGAAGTGTATCAGTGTAAACGATTGTAAACCACCTCCCTCAAAGTCTCCAATATCTCACTTATTGAGGTTACCGCACAGACCTTCCAACCAGGTAATAAGTTCATTAGTGTGTTCACACCAGCAGTCAGTCAATTCATGGATTGATGTTGTGTCCTAGTTTGGTCACTTGTAACTTTCTTCAAACGTGTATTTACACCAGCAAGCGTGGACCGTCGTGGTAGATAATGGTTAGGCATACGTAATATATGGCCTAACCACCACAGCCGATGAGGATTTACAATCTCATCAACCGCTTCCTCATATTTGCATAGTACTATGAATCAAATATCAACACTCCTCATTTAGTCGCTCTACGAACCGAAAACCATTTGAATTATGTATTCAGAAGGACATCCACATATAAAGAAGTATGCATTAATAACAATAAGAATGTTTAAGTATAATTCTATACTTTCGATTCATTGATCTACTACTTCAAATTTCTACTACGTTACATTGTCTAAATTTCTAAAAGTGGATTAATTATTTCAAAAATAAGGTACACCATATTTATTATTAGTAAAATCAAAATTAAAACAAAACTTACATCAAACGATCATGAATATTTTGAATAAGATATTGAATAATTTGATGAAAAATCTCTTGTATACTAATAGAACAAATTGGTTTTTTATCATTAGTCTCATTGGAAGAATTAGTTCGATAGGGTGATGATGACTGAATGGATTTCAATCCAATGAGTAAAATTAATTCAGAATAAATATGCGATAAATTAGCCAAAACTTCTTGTAATGAACTTTGTATGCCTGAAATAGAATAGGATTTTTTGGGCAAATAACTGGGTTACAATAATAACTATATATATATATATATATATATATATATATATATATATATATATATATATATATATATATATATATATATATATATATATATGCTAGAACAGGTTAGAGGTCAAAAGGAATTAATTCGGGTTGAGTGGTGTAATAATGGAAATGAATAATCATAAGATAGGTTACGCAATAATAATTAAATAGAATTGGAAACGTTGAGATAATTTAAGAGGATCAGTTGGTGGAAATGTGTGAATAATAATGTGGTTTAAGAATTATGTAATAGGGGAGGAGTATAAATATTTTAAAATGAATGAAAAAAAGGGACCAGGGTAGTGATAAGTTTATTAAAGTCTCTTTTTGAATGCATAAGTCCGGTTTGAGTTTTTTGATCATAATGGCTTCAGTAAAACGGAGGGTGGTCGTACTTCTTTGTCTATTGATAATTTTGAAAGCATGTGGAATGTCGATGGTGTGTCCGGTGTCAAGTAGATATCGAGCTATTGCGTTGTTGAAAGCCTTAGTCCCTCGCAGCCTCAAGTTTTTTGGAACATGCTCAGAAATGCGGACATGCACTCTTCTCTCAGTTCTTCCAATGTATGTGCTTTGGCACGTACATGTGAATTGGTAGATGCAATTGGAGCTACTAAGAAAAAAGGGTTTGCGATTTTGGTTTGTTGAAGTGAGCAGTTCGTTTGCCATACTGTCATAAGTTTTGCTGCTGGGTAGGTCACTTTCAACGCAGAGTTTATTCTGTGGTTAACTATTCCAGCAATCTCATCACCTTTGAAACGTAAGGGTAAGAAGCAGGTTTTCTTTCCAACTCCATCGTATTTTGTACAAGGATTGGTTTTTGTATATTTCTGGATAAATTTCAATGGGTATTCATTATCACGTAGAACATTAGTAATCAGATTAATTTCATCATCAAGGTATTCTTTTGAACAGATTTTTTGAGCGCGGTCAAAAAGGGTTCGCACAATACTCTTTTTGTAATTTATTGGACAGAAACTGTGATAATTGAGATATAGACCATTCCAGGAATTTTTGTGGTGAATACGTCTATGTAATTTACCATCAGATGTTCGTCGGATCCCAACATCAATGAAATGGAATTTGTCTTCAGCTTTTTGCTCCATAGTAAACTCTATGTCCTAGTGTGCTTTATTAAATAGATCGAGTAGCTTAGTGGTGTGTTCGTGATTGTTGCAGACGAGAAACATTTGCATGACACTAACTTTACAAGCCAATAATTTCGACACTTAGAACTCATTTAAATAATCTGAAATATTAATTTATACAATAAATTTTAGAGTTACATACTGTGCGCACAATAGCTCATAATAATGGTAAGATACAAGGAGAGAATCAGACTGGTTTTGAAGCCACAAACCGAATGATGAAGAAATAAGAACTAAGAACAATGATATACGTTCATTACTAAAACAGCTATAGCAAAAAATTAAAAGACCTTACTATGTTGAAAGATAAAAGAAAATTAAGTTAAATTAATCAAAACATACCATTTATTATATATATATTGTCCTGTTTCTTAATACTAGTGTATCTTTCCGACGGCAAAAGATTTGATAAATATGATTGAAGCGGTAAACATAACCATTCACTACGTAATTTCACATATCTTGAACAAATATCCTTTCGACCTTCGTCCCATGCTTCATCTAAAGTAGCTTGTAATCGATCAACTGAAACATAACCTAATGACTTGTATAAATTTAACAGACGATAATTTGCATGACACGCAACCCATTCAATATTATTTAAAACTAAAAGTAATCCTCTAGCCTATATATAAATTGAAACAGAAAATGATAATAAAAAGAAAATATCAATATATATATTCTTTTTCAATCAGAACGAAAACATAAAACTGAAGTAGATGTATAAGAGAAACTACTTACACTAATAAATTGAGAAACGTTAACCTTCATGACAATGTATATCGTCAAATACGTTAGTCCAGACATGCCCATTTGATAGATTGAAAATGGGGTGAAACGTACATTACGGATTCCACTACTAGCCACATATCATCTACTTCATTTCAATTTTTAAGAAATAAATTATAAACATAATTTTACTTTGTTTACACTGAACAGGAAATTGTATCAAACTGAGTGATGCATCAGGTATACAGTTTTACCATCATATGTCAGTACGTCATCAAAACAGCTTCAAGATAAACAATATTCATATATACACATACACCCCAAACTTATTGATAATGAAGCAAATCATTTATTTCTAAATTCAAACAAACTTTCCAACAGCCTAGTAGGAAGTCATGACCGGTAGAGTTAGTCACAGAATACAATTATAGATTTGAAACATATCATAATCTCATAATGAAATAGGGAGCTATCCTATGCTACCATAAAAGCACACCGGAAGGAATTCTAAACTAGAATAAAGCAGCTGTTCAATCCTCCAAGGTTTTTAACGGCTTTTTAAGTGACTTCTGTCCATGATGAAGAAGGCATATATTTCTGGATTTACATTAAAAGTATGTGAACTGGCCTTGAGAACAAAAAACCAGTGCTACACTTTCACAAAACGATGAACGACTTGTAAAAGAGTTATTCGATTTAGAACAATGATGTATTAATAACAACTTCATATAATCATACCTGTGAAATAATGTTTTGTCCAGAACTTCGTAGATTATTTACACCTGAATCTATCCAACTTTGTTGATATTCATTAGACGATTCATCTTGATTATGGGCCCTTTGCACAGTATGTCTTAGTTTCAGCGATGAAAATGAATCATAGGTGTTAGATTGAAAAAAGAGTAAACATGTAGAAATAACCAACAATGAACAGTATACTTCACTAATTTTGAAAGTTTGGTTATTGAATTACGCATTAAAATACTGAGGATGTTTGATACTACTAAAAAAACAAATAAGTAGTTCGAGCATCTACTTGAAAAATATTTGAATGATTTGTGAAAATTTCCTATGTGAATTTAAAGGCATATAAAATTAAAAGTTCTCAGGAAACGTGACATGGTAAAAACAGAAATTTGGATAATTAATAAAACTAAAACTAACCATAGAACATATCCTATCCAATAATATTAACAACTATTAGAGAATGGCAAATATCTTTGACTAATAATAACGTGAAAATATGACGGCTTGTAGCAAATTAAATCTACTCTCACAACACATTAATAATAAAAATAGCCTTGATAAAGTTTCTGTATTATGTATAATTTTTGTGTGAATCGTAAATAACACGTAGAAAAAAAAGGATAATAGTTTTAGGTTATTATTATTATTATTATTAATAGCGGTAATAATAATATTTAAATGGGATAGAATTCCGTGGATTCTCATCCATAAGCTTCACACATTACAAAAGGTGAAAAGTAATGATCTAAGTCGAGTGGAAAAAAACAGTATCAAGAAACTGGATATTAATAACAGAGACTAATTCTACACCAAAACTATTCATCAATTTCACAAAAAATTGACATAACCTAATGAAGTGAATGAAATAAGACAAATTAATTAATATTACAACAAATATGACAATTTATCATCAATCAGACATAAATAATTCGTAAAATGGAACAGCATTAATAAAAAGTAACTGGTCAAGACTAAATAAAGAATGTAAAATGACAGTAACCGGTGTTTTGTTTTATCGTAATGAGTATGCACATATATGTGAATGTTGTTTCACACAAACAGAAATTGGTGTGAAAGTGGATAAAATGAAGAAGATTCTTTGACAGCAATTAACTTAAGAAACGAAACAGACCACAATAACAAGAGAAATAAAAATTAGACAAGAAAATATAAGAAACAGATAAATGGTTGGATTAGAGAATGTGTAATATTACAAAGAATTAATACATAGAATATAAATTATTCACTAACTGATTTATAGAAAAAAGAAAATGATTAGTATGTAGAGAAATTGCTCAATTCAAGATTTATCTCTCTAGGGAGGCATTTATTTTTACCGTTAACAGCCTTTTTTAATGACGATAATATAGAAAATAAAACGATTTCAGACAAACACTATAAATATTTTATTCTAGAAATGTCAGTTGTAAGCATTTGTACTCAACAGTAAGTCAGGTACTTTTTTCAACAAATAAGTCTTCTAAGTCAAGAGCTTTAATGCGACATAAGAAAAAAACGCTAATCAGTCGGATGTTGGTCCATTCGCTATAATTCTTTCGTTCTTATACGACTAATTCCCAATGGTTAAAATTTTAAACGTTTGTTTATCCTATATGTAGGTAAATATATACCTTATAACATATTTAATAATAATTTACGGTCTACTTCTGATACAAGAACTCCTTCAAGTGATAAAAATAACATTTTGTGAGAAGTATTCAATAAGCAATTATGTGAGTTACAAAATTGATAGGGTCTGTTGATAAGCATTTATGGATGCAGAAAAAAGTTACTCGTCACTAAGGGGTTGTGGAGATTGTTGGGTTTCATTAAAATCGTGAATCGATCTGGGTTAGACCACCAGTGAAAACCTGGAAGCTTTGGATGATCATCGCGTCTTACTATGCACTACGAGATTCCTAAGCAGGCACATCTATAACTCCATCAGGGTACGGACTCAAGACCTTCGATCTCGCGCGCGAACGCCTAACTTTTAGACCTTTAGAGATAGGAATTTGAACTTTCATCGGTTATCCTCTAAAAAATCAATATTAAGCACAGTTTGTGGTCGATCAGTTTTAACCTAATAGTGAATATTAGAAAATCAAATAACATCCTGAGACCAAAAGTGATGACCGCCTACGCTCATAACATTAACTTTCTGATTACACCGACATTTGTTTGGTGAAGTGGCCATTTACATTATAGGATAATTATCATCTGCAAAATAAGGTTGACTAAAAATCAGTAATTATTGCTAAACTCAATAAGTTTTAGTCTCATTCTCTAGTAACCATAAAAGATTTTTAATTATTCGAGGATTTACACGGTCTCATGAGCACCCATCGCTCGCCTACATCTTTTGATTGAGTACATTTATCGATAAACATTTTATTTCCTTTCATTTTAAACATTGGAAACTCGTTATTCGATTGATTTGAATTCTCCGTTGCATTTTTATTATAGCAGAAAATGGATGAAACCGAAACTGAATATGTTAACAGACTTTTAACAAATCGAACTGATGAATGGATTAAAACTGTATACTTAATTATATATGAGTGTTCTATCATCTTATTGTTAGTGATGCGAAATTAAACTATTTCATAATTCTTTAATGTATATAACAAGATGCAATGATATAGATTCAATCATATGATAAATTTCATACACTCATGATCAGTTATTCACAACCATTTCACTCTCAGAAAACCCATTAGGTTTAATTATCAGAAAAAGAGATAGAAAGACTGACTGCATAAAATTGGAAATTAAGTAACAAGTTATCAAAATTACGTTCCAAGTATGAAAAGAAAATCTTTGTACTGCGGAAAACAATCAGTGATGGACACTGTTGAGTAAGTGTTGCAATTTCGTTTGATAATAATTATCTACTTAAATACAGATTGGTTAGTTTAAAAAATTAATGAAATTAAATCTAATATTTTGTTAGGTTTAGCCATGGTGGTCGTTATCAATTTATTTATTTGACTTAATCATTAATGATCAGCAAATGTCCATCAATAGTGAATAAAGATTTGCTAGCCACTGATTTATCACTAACATCCACACTTCTAATGCTGTAATGAAAATGTTATAGAGAATTTAAATCAATCGACTAATTACTTTTCAATATTTAAAATGAAAGGAAATAAAATGTTGATCGGTAAATGAACTCAATGAAATGATGCAGGTGAGTTATGGGTGATCACGAGATTACGTTATTGACGTGAATCCTTGAAATCAAAAGTAAAAATCACTACCCAGGACAATTGATTTTCCATGTAATGAAGTGATGTACATGTATACAAAATATTATCACAAAATAAACATGACAGATGGTCATAGGAAATCGGGAGAAATCGGTTTGTAAGTTATTCGTATCCTCTAGTCAATTAAGATTTGATTGTTAGGCCTAATTTGTGGGTATCACACTGAAAAAAGTAATGAATTAAATAACTGTTTATTAGTGAATCGGATCATGTTATTTTGCTTCTCTGAAAGTAATCATCCATTGGAATGTGATTTTGAAAGCTAATGGTAAGCTAAAGAAAGTCAATTGTTAATTTGATTCCGACCAACACTCACTTGTTTTCCTAACTTCTTGTATTGAGTAATTGCTTGTTCTCTACCGAAGTACACAGCGATGTCAGTTCTGTCTAAGTTTATCAGAAACATCACCGGAAAATCCTAATCTCGAACAAACGATGAGCTACCTGAATGCTCCTGACCTTTCAGTGATCTTCAGTATGACGTCATTTCCTGAATTAGTCGTATCCTTCGATGGAATGTTACTTAAAGAAAAATCATTGCATAACGGGGATAAGAACTAGGTACAAATCAGAAGGAACAGTTCAACACTTCATTCTCAAAGATCACCATACTTAGAACATTTCAGATGATTTGGAAAGTATTCTAGTTTGTTGTTCTCTCACTTCATCCAATGTTTCTCTACGAAATAAAGTGATATACGAACGGTATAATCTGTTGAATTGCGAACAAAATTAGTAGTTAGTTGTATGACCAATTAAGCCTCCTACCTGGCTGCAAATGAATCCTTGTACATTACGTTCTTAGTGACGTTAACGGTTGATTAGAATACGAATTGTATATTTCAATAATTCAATTAAGCAAATTCCACAATCGACTTATCCTTCTTGCTTTGAAATTTGCGACCAACCTCAAAACTACTTAGTATGCGATTACGAACTATGTGAATGAGAACCTAGATGACACCCATGTTCATTAATAAGACGATCACTTCAGACAGTTATAGATATGAAATAAACTACCAAACAGATTGTTTATATTTTACCCAAAACCATACACCTATTTTCATAACAAAAACACGACCTGTATTCGCAATAAATATCAATGGTAAAAATATGATTTTTATGGTTTTATACTACATTCTAGCAATATAAATCTGTAAGTGGATTTTCACGTATAAACTATTACATCGAATATGAACACCAACGAAATAAATGGCCCTCTTCATTGTAGAAGTACACAGCGATGTCAGTTCTGTCTAAGTTTATCAGAAACATCACCGGAAAATCCTAATCTCGAACAAACGATGAGCTACCTGAATGCTCCTGACCTTTCAGTGATCTTCAGTATGACGTCATTTCCTGAATTAGTCGTATCCTTCGATGGAATGTTACTTAAAGAAAAATCATTGCATAACGGGGATAAGAACTAGGTACAAATCAGAAGGAACAGTTCAACACTTCATTCTCAAAGATCACCATACTTAGAACATTTCAGATGATTTGGAAAGTATTCTAGTTTGTTGTTCTCTCACTTCATCCAATGTTTCTCTACGAAATAAAGTGATATACGAACGGTATAATCTGTTGAATTGCGAACAAAATTAGTAGTTAGTTGTATGACCAATTAAGCCTCCTACCTGGCTGCAAATGAATCCTTGTACATTACGTTCTTAGTGACGTTAACGGTTGATTAGAATACGAATTGTATATTTCAATAATTCAATTAAGCAAATTCCACAATCGACTTATCCTTCTTGCTTTGAAATTTGCGACCAACCTCAAAACTACTTAGTATGCGATTACGAACTATGTGAATGAGAACCTAGATGACACCCATGTTCATTAATAAGACGATCACTTCAGACAGTTATAGATATGAAATAAACTACCAAACAGATTGTTTATATTTTACCCAAAACCATACACCTATTTTCATAACAAAAACACGACCTGTATTCGCAATAAATATCAATGGTAAAAATATGATTTTTATGGTTTTATACTACATTCTAGCAATATAAATCTGTAAGTGGATTTTCACGTATAAACTATTACATCGAATATGAACACCAACGAAATAAATGGCCCTCTTCATTGTAGAAGTACACAGCGATGTCAGTTCTGTCTAAGTTTATCAGAAACATCACCGGAAAATCCTAATCTCGAACAAACGATGAGCTACCTGAATGCTCCTGACCTTTCAGTGATCTTCAGTATGACGTCATTTCCTGAATTAGTCGTATCCTTCGATGGAATGTTACTTAAAGAAAAATCATTGCATAACGGGGATAAGAACTAGGTACAAATCAGAAGGAACAGTTCAACACTTCATTCTCAAAGATCACCATACTTAGAACATTTCAGATGATTTGGAAAGTATTCTAGTTTGTTGTTCTCTCACTTCATCCAATGTTTCTCTACGAAATAAAGTGATATACGAACGGTATAATCTGTTGAATTGCGAACAAAATTAGTAGTTAGTTGTATGACCAATTAAGCCTCCTACCTGGCTGCAAATGAATCCTTGTACATTACGTTCTTAGTGACGTTAACGGTTGATTAGAATACGAATTGTATATTTCAATAATTCAATTAAGCAAATTCCACAATCGACTTATCCTTCTTGCTTTGAAATTTGCGACCAACCTCAAAACTACTTAGTATGCGATTACGAACTATGTGAATGAGAACCTAGATGACACCCATGTTCATTAATAAGACGATCACTTCAGACAGTTATAGATATGAAATAAACTACCAAACAGATTGTTTATATTTTACCCAAAACCATACACCTATTTTCATAACAAAAACACGACCTGTATTCGCAATAAATATCAATGGTAAAAATATGATTTTTATGGTTTTATACTACATTCTAGCAATATAAATCTGTAAGTGGATTTTCACGTATAAACTATTACATCGAATATGAACACCAACGAAATAAACGGCCCTCTTCATTGTAGAATAATCAGTAATAATAATAATAATAATAATAAGGGGATACAAATATATTACAAACTAAATGATAACTAGCTCTGCTATAACAACAATGAAATTCGGAAATAATCGAAAACCTGAGATAAACCGACTTGTTATATTGTCTAAGTTAGAAAGCTGTAAACCATAAGTTTCAATTATGTAGGCAGTGGAATTGATGTCAGCAAGGAATGAGAATGCTCATCATTATACAGAACCGTGAATTGACAACTGGTTGATGTAACAATTATATTAATGGACTTAATACAGTATATCCGGTAAAATTTATTACAGTTCTTCCAAATGTATAACAGATAAAACTACCTGTAAAGCATTATCGAGAGCTTTAGCCTTGGAGAAAACGGTTGAAGAAATTTCTGACAACCTATCTGACATGTAGTTGAATATGACTCAATGTGAAGCTTTGTCGCTTGGCATGTAACTCACACGTCTGCCGACATAATCCACAGAGATGCTCAAATAAACAAATATACCACAACGATCCGGTGTGAAACATCTAAATGAAGGCAAATTTTGTTAGTCAATCAATAATGATTAACATTGCTGGCTAATTTCACAGAACACCATCCCTTTGATCTAAAATCATAACAAGACACCCAAATGGAACAGAACGAATATCGTCGTTTGAGCACTATTTAAATTTGTGAAGAGAAGCAACTGCCTGGAATTAACTGTAGTTCTAGAATGCTGGATTCCGATTTGCTATCAATAGCTGACGTTTTACTTATGTACACTTTTAAAAACGAATTCGTAATGTACATGAGCATTTCACACCAAATGAGCAAACACCAAGCTTTTTATAAAGTTTAAATTAAGATTGTTTTGAGTTTTTCATAGTAATTTTAAAAATCAACAAATCAAACATTCAAAAATACAGAGAACTCTTAGACTAAAAATACAATACAGTTGGTAAAAAGTATAACTCCCTTTCATGTTAACTTACTCAATTTGATCAGCTAAGCGTTGTGATACTGCGATGAAACTAATCATTCCTATTCCGGACCACTCTGGAAAACGTTCTTGAAGTTCATCAGAGTCAAAAAGCTAAATGAAACAAAATATTAGTTAACAAATAAACAGTTAATGAATTTAATAAATTAAGTAAAATTAGAAGAACTTAAGTCATATCATTCCAGTAATCATTTTAAAACACTATTCAGTGAATTCCTGTCCTGGATGAAATCATGAAACATTTAACTAGTGAAGACAATCTATCACCATACTATTGAGAAAAATACATGACAAAAAGTAATCAGTCATGCTATCCTATACATCGATGTCAATACATTCAAACACAGAGTCATGTCTGATGAAGGAATCAACTAACCTGTGAATCCAAATAGAAGATATGAGTCTAACAAGTGTAAAAGAACCCTATATAGCAGTTCAATTTAAGCTAATCAGCATGTGACTTTTTTTTTCATTGATACTTCAATATGATCAAAACACCATATTCAATCATATCATAATGAAAGATAAATAGATATTTGGATTCAGTCAAAATTATGACGAACTTGAAATAAAATCGAATCATTTAACTGATCAAATGGCAAACACGAAACATAATTGTTGTAATATATATCACTTACATATAATGCCTTTTTATTTACATACAAATTCAAGACAGCTTATTAATATATAATTAAAATTTTATTCTAATTACCGTAGGTAAACCTAATAGACATAATCTACAGAGAGTTTAATATCAGTAATGAAAACTTATAAAAAACTTTTGTGGTTTGATTAATTTAAATAGATGTGTTTGCTTGTGAAAACCCATAAATTCAATATTATGAAGAGTAAGTGTTTAGAGTTATCTAATTGTTAATAATCATGACTGAATTTTGATAAGTTTTTATTGGTATATATGTGCATTATATGAGGATTGCTTTTATATATCCATTTTGTTATAAGTTATATAAAATAGATAGATTATAGCTAGAGTAGTGGAATCCAAGAGGCATGTTTTGTCCTATTTGTAAATTGTTAGTTGAATTAATTAAATGAATACAAAAGAATAAATTGGAATTCTTCCACTTGGATCTATGATAATCTTTATACAAATGAATCAGAAAATTGTAAGTTTGAATTCAAAAACAGAGAGCAACAAATTAACTAATTATAATCTAGATTTATGAAAAATATTACTATTCATAATGGAACAAATACTGTAGTTTAACGTTTAGTAGTTATTTGTACTTACTGGTTTTTCTATTGATGTTCTCGGAAATACTTGATCTTCACAAAGGATGAATGAGTCGGCAATAATATCTTCATACAATAAAGGCTTTAAAGAAAGAGGAAAATATTTTAGAATACATAGTGTAGAACATAGTCAATTAGCACTAGGTAATACAAAGCAGTCGGAAAGAAACTTTACTAGAAATCAGTCGCAGCTCAAATAGCTCTATTGTAACGTGTCACACTTCAAAGATGGGTGTCGTAGGTTCGAATTCCATGAGGAGGATTAATTCCTTCAAAGTTATAAGTATGAATTACTGACAATTATGGTTTCCTGCCTACTAACTACACCCAGTTATAATCAATACACAGTGAGTGTGACGGTAAGTCACATAGACTAATGAATACATCGCAACTTCATAGACACAATCACTAGCAAGGACTAGGCACACGCGACACTGACCATACTATTCATTAATCAATCAATATAATTGATCATGGTTATTATTTTACTATAGTTAAGAAATAATGCTACAAATAGAACCATAATTATTTGTAGGCCTACAAATATGAAGCTAATTTCACATCGTTTTTAAAATGTAATATCCCAATGGACGTAATACAGTTTGCTTTGTTCAGATGGCCAACATTTAAATCAGTATGACAGACAGTGCACAACCTAACATAAAGTATCTTTATTGGTCTAAGTTATTATACCTTACATTAGCACATTAAAGAAATTAACGAGATACGAAGCAGAACATAGAAACCTAGTAATAAACGCGACAAAAAGTCAAATATAAGAAATATGATTTAAAATGAATGAAAGACGTTGAAGAAGGAAACTGAGACGATGCTTCAATTCAGATTTAAAATTACGAAAATCAAGAACATTGTAGTACTAAGATTAGATTTTGGATCTTGTCATTCAGCTTCGCACGTTTTAGACTATGAAGATATCAGCAAACAAATCTCAACCTAACAATATAGCAGCATCTCAGTTAAACAGTCGATAACTTCATTGACTGACATTACATCTTTATTTTATCTAACCCTAGATATCATCTGGCCTAATATTAATCAAACTAAACACTACACATCAAGCTCAAGCCCACAAATAATTTTTTTAATGAATATATTTGCATCAATCTAACAGATAACTCAAAATGAAATTCACAACATTTTATAAACCTAAAGGCTAAAAGCAATCCACTATGTACTCGATTTTGAATAGTTGAAGGTAATCACCCGCGACAGGGTTGGATGGAGAATGCTGGTGAGCTGCCTATGCTCCTTCACAAGGAGTAACAGGAGTAAGTAGTAGGTAAGTAAGTGAAGGTAATCAGCAGGAAGACTTGCACTGAGCATTTTTGCTAGTTGGCACTCGTCAGTATTATTTACCAACAATCTTGCAAAAAATGATGTTTCCACCCCATCCATCTGTCATGAGACTTAAATTTACATTAGTAGCTAAGTTGTAATTTGATCGATAGAATTTAATTATATGTTAAAAACATGAGAGTATGATATTATTCACCACTGTTCCAATAATCATAATCAATGTTAAAATATACTCAATTAAAATGCACTAATGGTTTAATTAATTTTTTATGACAAAATAAAATATAAAAACTAATACATACAAGTTTAGTAATTCCACCATCAGTATCAGTTAAATCCACATCCCATCTTTCTTTAATTTGTAATGTTTCAATAGCTAAAATTTACCATTTTTAAAGAATTAATAAATAATTGAGATCATGAAACGATCAATGTTAGACTATCATCGAAAACCTGGAAACACTGGACAGCCATTTCGTCCCAGTATGGAACTCCTCAACGGTGTTCATTCAACGATCCTGTACTTGTGATTCGAATACCCAGGACCTTTGATCTCACGCACGAACCCCTAAACCACTGAGTCAGGATCCGAAAGTTTTAATGTCCAACTTCAATCAACCCACGATATTGCACTACCAACTTAATAATCATAATAAATTATACAAAAAATGACAAACCAAGCAACTAAAAAAGATTAGTTTACGTTTTAAGTAACGACAAAAAAATCAATCCAATTAGCAGATTAGTTTCAATAAACTATTATTAGACAATTACTTAAATATTACAGAATAAATGTTAACTTATTTTTCTGATATAAACTAATAATGATCTGCTTAATGTACATTGATTTCTTTAATTCCATTCAGCTGACATAATAGATTTTTATCCCTTGAAAAAATATGATTTTAAATTATAACTGTTCTCCTATTATAAATGTTTATCGTGATTTGAACGGAATAAATACGTGCCAAGTAAGTAGAAAACAATGAGAGAAACTCATTGAGTCATTTAATTGGTGAAAAAGTTTTTTTTGCATGAAATCGTTTACTCAAACTATACAACCAAGTTTACTGTAAATTTATTTTATACATAATTGTAATAAAAATAGAAAATGAACTTTTGATATTAATGTAGGTGTCATTACCAAGGTTTGATTTGATAATTTCGAATAAATTGAGCATTGGGTTGATTGTTATAAATAAAAATAATATATTCGTAATATCCCAATGAGTAGGAAATTGGATTTTTCTGACGTTTCGTGGCTTAGTGAAAGTCACTTCTTCAGAGAATCAATAACCAAATTAAATTGATATTATTTTGATATTAATGTTAGTAACAACAACTTTCTATAGACTACTACTGAAGTGAATGAGAACTCAGGTGGTTGAAACTTATTGTTTCATGCAAAATTACAGTATCATGGTAAAATATGGAAACCATACATTAAATCCATTATTTGTACATCTTCGTTCAGTTGTCGTTTACATGCCTCATGATTGTTCCAATTTTGTTGTTATCTTGATTGCTCTCAATCTTCTGCTGCCATGCATTCCACACCCAACTGTGGCTACATACTACTTATATCTATCAGCATTCAAGACACTACTTGTAAAATAATTATCAATATTAATGTTTACACTGTTGAGAACGTTATTCTACTTAAATAAAAAAAGTTAAATGTTAGATTTTTTGCTATTTATTCAAATGACTAGTTTGTTTTTGACTAAGATAGTAATATATGACCACTAAATTAAAATATTCACAACTTACTAAGTTGAGCACGAAGAAATATTCCACGAACAGCAAGTTTACGTAGATCATAAGCAAGTTTAGCAAATATATCACAGATTTCAGATGACATCTCTGACAATGGCAGGGAACTACAACATTGTCTAATAATATGTAGAAGAAAAAAATGGGAGAAATAAGTGTATAAACTAAATAACTAACAAACCTAACCTTGGAATTAGTCACTAACAAGCACGTGATCATTACAAGTATAGAAAACTTGTGAAGTGTTCAGCTTCATAGTTCACAGCATGGATTGGTCTTAGCTAAACAATCATTAAAAACCACGAAGCAATGAACAACTGTCTCCTCCTATTATGCGACCCTTCAACAGCCCGCACCCTCAAATACACTAAGGATCGAATTTTTAGATTAGTAAATCGGTATCCAGTGGTTAATATTTTCGAGAAAGCTTGCATTAGGATAGAGAAATTATACAGTGCTTCTAGATTTTCAATAGTTGTCTAAGGCCAGATAACGATGTAGACTATAACATAAATCCTTGAAAAGAAACACACGATGGTTATTATCAGATAGTTCTAAAATATAAAGTGATAGTTCAAGAAATTTCTTGTGTCTGAACACAGATAACTCAGTAATAGCAAACATATGTAAAGTCAAAATGAAGTTCATTATTTTATTTTGTAGATGTAACAAAGGTGATTTCCCCTGTTAATATACGCTAACAGATATTACATTATAATAAAGGAACTAAAAGAACGATGATCCATAGGTGCTTGGTTCTGAGATTTTACTCTCTTAGAAGATTCAGCATTTTTACTTAATATTACACTACAATCGGATATTTTACCTATCATGCTAATAGAAGTATGGGCAATGATGACAGATAAGCGGTGATCTATATCTCGATGTTTCCGAGTACTTATAGTTTTAAGTAATTTAACGCCATACATATAACAATCAGCCAGGATTCAGTACAAAAGTCTTTGTTTTGTTTTCAAACTAAATCGTGTATCAGCAACTATGAAATCACGAGGAAGTGGTAACGTATCACTACATAATGTGTGAATCCCCTATATTGGTGAGATGAGGTTATGTGAATAACAACATATAAGTCCGACACGACATTTTCAAAGACAAAGCAAACATTTAAGCAATGGGATCCCAGAGTTTTGATAAGTGAATTTCATTGTTTAATTACATGAAAAATCTGAACATTGAAAACTGAGTCAAGGAGTTTGGAATTTGGTTTCAGAAGACCAAGGATGAAATATTGTCATCCCTAATTGTTAGCATTGATTTGACATATGGGAAAAGACTAAGCTGGAAAGTAAGGTGTTGAGAGCAGGGAACCAGACAAAAATTTTAAAAATGAAGAATTGTTTGCAAAATAGAGTAGCCTAGGTAAGCTTCTCTATCCCTGCATTGTGGAGGAATGTTTCTTCTTGAGGAATTTAAAGTTTTGCATTGTTATCAACGATCTCATCAACCTGCAAGTATGACTGAGAAGTTGAAGAGACAATGGACTGAGACCGGTTACGCAAGACCATTTACTGAGTGATTACGTTTGAGATCCAGGATCAGCACTTTTAAGCTGCATAAAAAATACTAAATAGCTGTAAGACGAGAGGAGTTATAATTTTAAGAGTGACCTTTTCGAACTGTCTCCTTCCATCTGTGGGAAGGCGGAACAGTTATATGTTAGTTATCTGTAGTAAACGTGCTGCTACATTAGTATTAATTAAACCTGACATCTAACGTTTATCAGTTTTTATATTACATTCACCAACCCTCCCCTACATCTGGGATAATAAGATCATAAGAAACAAGTGCTCAAATCAATATCCTCCGTTTACGTTATCAGCATAGGTGTGCGAAACCACAGTATCAAAATAGCAGCCACGTTAAGAAAGTTCACGATTAAACCCACGCACTGGGTTTCGAAACTGAAACCACATACAGAATAGCCTAAACTCAAGACTGTTGATTTTATGTCTGGGATATCATCGTTTTTATTACAGAAGTAAAAGCTGAAGATCTCATATAAGATAGGTAGGGAAGGATAATGACTAAATATGTCATTAAACAATATACAGGACCAATAATTCATGTAACCATTATATCTATTTCGATTTCCCACGGAAGAAAATAATGTCCATCGCTAAACTCACACTGTGAGAATAAGCGGAATTATGAAAAGAAACATGTGAGAAAATGGAGCTACAGTTTGGTAATAAAATACAATACAAGGAATAACTAAAGTTCTTTGTTTAAATCAATTTTCTCACAGACACCTAAAATTACACACAAAAATATTGATCACAACGGATTATTATACAAAAAATGAAATTATAAAGCATAACAATATGAAACCAATCATTAAAGTCAGAACCAAGGTGGAACCTAGAACATGCGTGCATTAGTTTAAGTTGCCACACCATATCAGCACAATGAGAGGAAGTTATCCAGACAAATACCAGTATAGTTGAAATGACAGTATTAGTATAAGTAGTATGAAAAATTAGGAATACATTATGTGATTAGAGAAGGAAGAATGAATCGGTGGAATGAAAAGTATATGTATTTTAAAACAAAAGGTGAATGCATTGGCGTCATTGTGATCGATCCTGATTAATATCATTGAATATCTCCAATCATTGGTTAGAGTTAGTTGCGAGGACCCTCAACAATCATTTTACAAGTTCACACCCTTGTCTGTCACACAAAACACTTCATATAATGCTAAGGCGATTACAAGAATAGTCAAATTTCAAAAACGATGACCGCCCACGTACTTTTGTTAATTCAATTTTACGCATAACATATGACCTGATTGGTCGTTATGGCTTTTAGTTCGCTAAATTCGTCTGCTTGAAGGTCATATTTTGTTACTATATATTTACGGAGTTATACCAGTTCGTTTTGAACTGTTTGTTTTACCTCAGATATCAAATTTCCTTACAATTCAACTACTCCTTATGCTAGTCGCCACGTATTGATGTGCTGTGTGTAAATTGCCATTGTCGATTACACGGAGAACCGATTATGCTAGAACAGCTCAATCATTTTCCTCAAATCCATAAATATTGTAAGCTCGCACTAAACCCCAATAACGGAATACAACGTGAGTATCCGATATATAAATCATAAATAACCTTCATATCACATATCTACTGTATTAATGTGGTCAACTTAGTACTAGTTTTAAAATAGTGTGGTCCAAAATCAGTTGCACTAATCTGAATATGATTACGACACTCATCGTACACTTATTCAGTCATGAACTGTAAACACAAGATAAATTAGAACAGCATTTATAAGTTTGCTCTAACCAGGTAATTCGAACTGAGATCAATATCAGTATTGTGAATAAAGTCTGTTTAAATATGCTTAGACATAGCCAATTACGAAGTGTTGGGTGTAGGTAAGGTAAAGTACAATTTTTAACGTCAAAGGAACACACTATTAATAAAAGATTTAATGACTGATCATAATAAAATTCGAAATAAATATTGATCAGAACAGTTGTTTCAAATCCATGAAATGATCTAACAATTTGAAACTTTCCCATGGAATGATAAAGAAAATAGTAAAACGTTAAGAGAATAATTGACTGTTTTACTTGAATCTTCCCATTGATGTTTAGGACTGCAATAGATCAGTCTCTTATTGGCATATGTACATACAGTAAGGATTGCCTCGGTATTGCCTTAATTTACAAGCATTATAAGCAAAGATGGATAGTGGCTAGTAGTGGAACTCAGGATGCGCGTGTCGTCCTATTTGGGACTCGAACCCTGAATTCCACTGCTAGCCACTATCCATCTTTTCTTATAATGCTTGTTAAGAGAATAGTTGATTTTTGCATAGTTCCAAGACAGAAGTATAATAACAACCAATATGTAAACAAAGATGGTGGTGGCTAACAGTGGAATTCACGACGCGCATTTCGTCCCGTTTGGGACTAAGTCAGCTGGTTGTAACCCACATACCAGAGTTGATGTCCGTTTCGGGGCTCAAACCCAGTACCGTTCGCTTCAAACGCCATCGCATTATCCATTTAGCCACTAAGTCCAGAAAGCCACAAGCTTGTGCAATGAGGTGAAGTTTAATTCATTTTTGTATTTATATATATCCTGCTTATAATGCTTGTGACTTAAGGCAATATCGAGTCCATCCACACAGGATGCACATATTCCAATAAGAGATTGATCATTTGCAGCCCTAAACATCAATGGGAAGATCCAAACAACCAAAACAAAAATGATTTCAAAAAGCCTAGAGGCAACACACCAGTTATGAGAACTGTTGTAGCTATACTTACATACAGTCAAGAGTTAAAGCCATTTTTTTAATTATCAGTTAGCGTTATAATTGATTCGTGGTATTCTGTTAAATAATGAGCTCATGTATGCTTCCATTCCGTTTTAAGATTATGTGTCCTTCTGTAACACCTACACAATCTGAACATTATAACAATTATTTTAACCAGTTATTAATGCCATAAGTAGAATAATTAAACACATTTATAGAAAACTGACTTACCTATATTCTTTTATACACTCTAATAAATGATCAGTTAATGAAGTTTCATTAGATGTAGTGCTGAAAGCTTCAAGAACAATATCACGCATGTGATTGGACACAGAGTGTACAAGTTCTAAATTAATTTGCTGAAATATTTAAAACAAAAACCAGTGGAAGATTTAAAAAGGAAAGATGATAAAATATTTAGGCATATATTTTACAAGTAGTTACGTCGGACCCAATCATGATGCATAAATAATAAAACGTGAGTATTTTCAACTGATCAACCACTTAGTCATTTGTAATCAACGTGAAGACTAAGACAAACGTAAATAAGTCCAAGTTCTCATGCAATAATACAATAAAACAAAATCGATTGCATTAAATAGCAAAAAAATAATAATCGAAGTAGTAATGATAATGAGAAAGAGTAAAAATTAAGCATATGATTCACGAAGAAGAAATAAGTTGTGTACGGAGAAATATTAAAACTTGCTATCTAAATTAACTGACCCTGTCCTAACCACTTCAGTATGAGCAGCTGGATAGTATTAATAGCTACCCCATATATAAAGTGTAGCTCTAAGTCATGTTCATGAATCTGTAATTGTTAAATGAGCTATATTAAGGAAGTACATATTGAAGATATAGAGTACATATTCAATTAATCAAAACTGCTTAAATAGCTGCGACAATTTATTGTTAGTTTTTGAGTAGTATAGACGTCTCAACCATCTAACTCCATATAAAAGATCAACTTTAAAATTACTAAGAAACTGACGAATAATATAATCATAAATCCATAAAAAGCGATAGATTCGACTTTCGGAAAAAAGACCCTCATTTTACATCAATACTATCAGAAATAATGATGATACGAAAGGTATTTCTCCTGTAATCCTCCAAAAGAGATACACAATATTACCAATATATATATATATATATATATATATATATATATATAATAAAATTCAATAAATTACCAGCCATGCCGCTTTAGGATCGTTTGTTGACGACGTCTGACCAAGTTTATCATAAAATTTCTGTGTATAGAAAAAGAAACAAACTGATAGATATTTGCCTCAATCTAATGCTATGATAATAATAATATAACTTACCAAATACATGTTTATGCATCATTCTCCTGTGAGTCTTCTGAGGTTAATAATATTAATCCATCTACTCCCTACTCAAACTAAAATAGAATGAGTGGCTTTCAAATCTATGATGTAATGGTCAAAAATCCAGTGCTCTCTACTAATCACCACATTAACAGAATTATATGTAAAAATAATACTCATAATTTTAGTGAATGCATACTGTTTATTATATAGAAGAGGATCAATACTCATGGTAAAATATATTAAACAAATTTAATTTAATAGTATTCTAAATCCTAATCTTTTTGATTATGTTAAACAAATGAATAAATGGGGAATATGATGATTACATAAGAGATTTAACTCTAATAATTCATTTTTTACAAACATAAAGCTTTCAAAAATTGGAACTAATTATAAATTACATTGGCTAATTACTAATAATAATAACAATGACTACTTTCTATGTTCATTTCAATTTTTTTATATATAAAGGTTAAATAAAAGTATGAAACACTTTTAAATGAACACTTTCAAAACCAACTTGATTGTTATAATTTAACTGCCCCGAAATATAAGCAGTACCCAAACGCCAAAATTGAATAACATGTGTAGTAAGTAAACGACATACTGCTTTTACCATACCAACCATTGGTGGAACACCATAAAAGTCTAAATTATAATCAAAAGTGAAGTTGATGTTTATTCGTTTAATAATATTAGTGCTTATATATGGTTGATATCGTAGTAAAAAATTTTCAGTATAGAAATTATATGAATAATGAAATATAAATTACATAATAAGTGATAAATATGACAAATGGTTACCTTTTCATCTTAAAAGAAAACTCAACTATATTTGAATAACTGACATTGGTAAATAAAAATTTTAATAGTTGAATTCAGGAGTCGAAGTGGCTTATATTAAGTCACGAAACATCAAAAACACAGTTTTTACTTAATGAGATATCACAAATAGTAGATTTATTATTAACTTTCTACCCAATGCTCAATTTATTTGAAACTATCAAGCCTGACGTTGGCATTGATACTGACTAAATAGGTTAAGTAAGAGAACAAAATTCAATTTTTGATAGATTGCTATTACTGATATGCTACCACATAAATACATAATATATCTGTACATCACAGTTTATAAATTATTCGATAATTTGTTATCGTTATTTATTAATGTAATTTTTCTAATAACCATAAGGACTATCCATTAATATATAGAAAGTAAACAATTTTTTAGGTTATGTACACAACAAAGTTATTCTGTTTCAAGTTACAAAAATTTCATACCACCAAAACTTGATGAAGTAGTAATAACAACTACACATGGACCAATATTCACCAATGTTTTTAACTAAAATCTAAAATTTACTAACCTTAAAGGGTGAGATTGGTAAAAAAAAAAGCTTCAACTGTACGAAATGATACAATCGACATCTGTCACAGATCTCATACTATGCCACAATTATTCTCGAATATACCACAAGAATGAGTTGACATTGGAATGTGAAATGGATTAAACTTTGTCGATTTATGTAGTTAATTTGGAATTTAGAGGTATTGTGGTGTGTATTATTTAGGAGGGCAGATATAATTAGTAGGTAGTAAGAATAGGAAGCGAAATGCTTATCAGTAGAAAATTGAAGCAAACAGAATACGGAGGTAAACAGAAAGCAATCGCAATAACAACAATTGGAAGAATGATGAACAGTGTAAGGGACAACTCAAAGATGTGCACACAATGTACGGCCTTTATATTTTACAAAGGCACTGTGTGGTTTTTCATAGAACAATAAATTCGTTTACCCCACCCAAGTCTTTGTTTATTATAGTATTAATGTCAAGTATACTTGTCAATAAATCGCGTGAAGATATTAATGTCTAAACATTAGGATTCCCTATTTAATTAATGAAAAAATATTCGGTGAAACCATTGGGCGCGTAAAAAATACTAATAGTAGTTCTCCGGCGTTAAAAGACTTTTGTATTGTCCTACGTAATCTCTGAGCTAGTATTTCGCTAGCCGCATCCCCTCTGAATTTAGACGCATAAACAGGGGTTTCTTCTTCACTGTTTGTATTTCGCCTACTTTCGCCTTCGTGACCATATATTTAATTATAAACTTTCTAGGGTAGCCGTTCTCCCTGAGAGTATTATGCAAGGTGGTAAGCTCTTGTTCGACTATATCAGCAGAACATATAGTGCGAATACGGTAACTAAGGTTTTTGATCATATTTCGTTTGTACTGAAGAGGTACAAAGCTCAGGAAATTCGTATACAGCCCAGTCCATGTACTTTTTCTGTTTATATTCCTTTTTAACGATCCCCTGGCCAACATCAAGGCCAATTAATCAATCGTAATCTTAAGTATTGAATGAACTAATTTGACTATGACCTTTCGGGCTTTTGAGAAAAGACTTTGCTGTATTGCGAAGAGTGCTGAAGGCAATTAGCAAGGTGTGTGGTGAATCTTACGAGGTCATAATTAATATGGTTGTGGATAGACATTTAAAATCATGCAAACTCCTGGCAGGTGTCATTTTATCAGATACTAGCCATCCCCTTCACTCTTATCTTTCTCCTTGTATATCTTCTGGTAGGACGAGGCGTAATTAGATTAAAATCCATGCACGCAAGGAAAAGTATAAAAGTTCTATAATACCTTACCTAGCAAATATACTCTGTGACGGACAGGTTGTTAGAATTAACCTAGTCAATAACTTACATTCTTTACATGTCTTTAATTTTAAAAAGTTTGTACAGTTTTTTTTGGTTTATTTTATTTTTTTTTAAAAAACCTTTTTTATTTCTTTTGGTATTTGCTACAGCCTTTTTGTTCGTTGTTCAGTAAGTAACTTGTTGAAATACCCTGTGCTGAGAATTCTATATTGTACCAAAAAGATAATATTGAATAAAGCCATTAATAATAAATAAAAAAAATTGTAATTGTCCCTGTTATCTTTATTCATAAATCTTTGTATTATTATTATTATTCGTGTTATTGGTTAAACATCATTAATGTCCCCTATACATGATTCATTTACTTCGCATTCATCCCTCCGTATTACGTCTTATTTGATCGAATTGTAATTGCACTATTATTTCTCTCTCACCCTATTTGACCCATATTTATTCTGATCATGGATCTTAAAATTTCACTTAATATATACGCAGATTCAAGTTAACACTCTATATGAGTCATATAGAGATTAACAATTTTATTGTATTTTGTTTATCACAATCCTAAATTCACATGCTCGAAACGATGTACCTTGCCCTTAACCTGGCCATTTTTTCGGATTATTAATTTGGATATATAACTGTAGAACCTGATGAGAATTTATCGAAAAGAATATTCTTCGCTCAAATACTAGTCTTTTAATATGACGTGGATCTTTAAACGAAAAAATATTCGATGAAATCCCTTAACAGATAGCAAAGAAACTAAAATAATGTGAGAAATTTGAATTGGTACAGAAGCTGACTAAACACCATCTACATATTGAACGATATACTTCTTTATTTTGATAAACATCACGAACCGGTCAAAGTTAAACAACCAGTGGAAACCTGAAAGTACTTGACGCCCGTTCTGTCATCGTATGGGGCTCCTTAGCAGTCAGCGTGCACAACCACGCACCGGAAATCGGAGCCAGGACCTCTGACCTCACATGAGGACGCTTAACCTCTAGAACAGTGAACCTAACTTAGATCGATAACCGATCTTAATAAGAATCGAACTATCTCCACATCCCCGTACTGATACTTCATTCGTTATTGACAATTCTGTAAAACACAAACCCAGTGTATTCACAGTGTTAAAAGATGAGATTGTACAAATTATAATATTAGTAAAACGTCTACAAAAATAAAAGAGAATGTTGATATTCATAGTTATAATTAAATTATTCCGATTAGCAACATGACACGGTTAACAGATTACTAACCTTCAGCAAATAAGATGAATGAATCAGGATTCAGTATAGACGATTTATTATCCACGGAGAGAAGATTACCAATGATATTAGAACCATCAAACTGTTTATTTTTCATTGAATTACCATCGACCATATCTTGATGAGATATACGTTGGTAATTACGTAGTTGATCAATCAGCCAATCTTTGAAATATGTCAAACATAACCAACCAGGATCATAATCCACTTCTAATTGTGTTAGATACCTATAAAACGGTATTGACAATATACGCACAATATGTTTTTGAATAACATACATTTACTAAAGTAGATGAATACTTTGTACGATTAGAAAGCAATTATCAATCCAAAATGAATTCGGTTGAAATGCTATTGAAAACCAAGGAGCAATGTACAGCAATGCCGTTCTAGTTCGGCACTCCGTCTTAGAGTGTACTTCCAAACCTAACGGAGAACGAAGCAAAGACCTTTACTCTTTCCGTAAAACATGATAACTTCAGAGCATCGAGCTAGAAGTAGTCTATTTCTACAACTTATAATATAGTACAACGACTCACATCCAATGGCATCAGTAACTTAATACTTTAGACTTGTTTGACTCAACATGTAATTTTCCCAGCAGAACGAAGGAAAATCCATCTAGTCATCAATAAGCATATGATCATAGTTAGTAGTAAAATACGGACTGAATTTAGAATTAGCATTAAAAAAATCGTGTAGGCTAAAGATCCCAAGATGGCTGGTTCGACCCAGTGTGTGTGATCCCCACTTCATCTTACACAGAAGCTCCAAAACAGAACAAAACTATCTAGTGCTTCCTAACTTTCAACGTTTCTTTAATTCATATAAATTTCTTATTATGTAGGCCACTCCCAGAACTATAATAAAAATTATCAAACATTTTTTCTCGAATATAATTTATCAAGACAGCAAATGCATTGACTGTATCACTCAGTAATCAAGACAATTAGAAATTGGTAGCTCTTAGTCAATATAAGCCATCAAAACAGCAGATTTTATACAAAAACAATAATATCAGTAAAGTAGACAACTTAAGTTTTTGTCAATATTACTGATGAATAAACGACCTATAAGGATACCCGGCTATCAAATATATTTTGCGATAATAAAACTTTCTCACTCTACCATCTTTTCTACATATTCTTACAACATTCCTTTAGATTACTGAAAATATGATTAGGACCTACTCTTTCGTTTTATCGCTCTTTCTTGTACATAGAATTTACACATATATACACAAACGGAATATGTAGTAGAGTAAGAATTATAACTAACGATAGGCATTGAATAAGAATGACAGGGATGTCTGTAACGCCTAAACCGACACAAATATACCATACTTCATATACCAAACAGAGAATCAGATATATTCACTAAATCATAATCATTACTAAACAGGAAAGAGTAGATCACTAGAAACAAGAAATGCAATAGATTTTCCCAATTAATGTTGTACAGTTTTGTAGATAAAAACGAAGTTTTTAAAGGGCAGGTTTTATAAAGGAATGTAAACAATGAATAATCTTGACAACTGCAGCAATAGGAAGTTATGAATTATAGCCCTGTCTAATATTGCGTGAAAAAGCACTAATAACACTAAGCTCTTATTAGTCCTCGATTCGGTAGCTCCTCTCGTTGCCTTGCCCGTTAAGTCCAGAACACCGTAATCAGCCTCCACTATACGAATATTATATTTTTGAACAATACGTAGTTTACATACAAGCATACCAGACTGCATCACACCATAAAATGAAAAATAACAATTATACATGATCAAGCCAAAAGTGACTTTGAGGAGGGGAGACTATGAATAACAAACTGGAAACCGATTAATAGTATATCATACAACAGTAGTCAATTGGTCGGACGAAAACTTATTATAAGAAGGATATAAACATATAATCTAGTTACATCATAATTACACAATAAGAATATACATATATTAATAGTACATAAATTAATCCTGAAAGTTACCATTCTTTTAGTCTTCATCAGATATAACAGAAATAAAGTGTCAATGAGAGCGAAAACCTTTTAAACGGTAAAATGTGGCTTATCCACCAAGAATGTAAAAATCTGACTAGACATAAATCTATGAAGATCTTGAACTGTGAAAAACTAATATCAATGATTAATTCTCAATTTCGCCAGGTCTCAAACCACCCCATGATTTTAACAGGTGAAGTCATGAGTAGATCTAAGCCAGACCACCATTGAAAACCTGGAATCACTGGATGGCCGCTTTGTCCCAGTATGGGACTCCTCAGCAATGTGCATCCACGATCCCGTACTCGAGATTCTAACGCCCATGACCTTCGGTCTTGTGCACAAACGCTTAACCTCTAAACAACTGAGTCGGGATCCAAAAGTATAAATGTCTAACTTCAATCGACCAATGAATTTGCGCAACTCTTCATCCATTGTCTAAGGTGGATAACTGTCTCAAACCCGACACGGATTGAACTCCACTGGTCACTCCTTCCCATGATCGTTTGTTCTAATCCATCACGAACTATGTGAAATAAAACTGAATCCATAACAACATATGTATCTACAGTCAATGTCATTAACTATAAATAAATGTGTTTGTAATTCAATTGATAGGGTGTAGGCTTATATTCCATGCCTCAAGTTCATGGCATGCTTTCACAAAATAGAAAATAGAGTGAAAATCAGGTATGATCTACTGACTATACAAAGGTTCAGTAGTGGCTAATGAGCCTCGAAAATGACTGAAATAGAACCACATCTTTGGAAGATGATATCTGTTTTGTGAAATGGATGCCTTTTTGTGATTAAGTCAGGAAGCACTAGCGTCAAAAATCAATCCAAGAAAATTTAGTGATTTTAAGAAAAACGAATGGTTCTCATAACAAAATCAAAAATCGTAGCATATGCTCTCGAATACTATTTTAACTAAAATGTGATTTTTTTGAAGAACTAATTTTAACCGGGAAATAAGCTGAGTGCACAACAGCAATTGGAATGTGATAAGATTGCTAAAGTAGTGTTTATTACGAAAGTTTTTGATGGAGCTATGTTTTCTGAGCTCAGAGAACAAAACTCCATCAAAATCATTCACCTTAGCTACAACTCTTCTCTACCATTATAAAAGTTTAAAATTTTTACTGTTTTAAAGCCAATTCTAATTCAAGGTAAGCATCGACAGACAAAAATAACCACTATATAGGATCAGAAGTAGATCACCTGGATGTAGGAAAGAACAGTTGTTATAAGCGATACTAAAGTCAGTACATAAATCAGAGTAGGTAAGCAATGAATCACCTTCCTCCATAACTGTTAGGTTTGAAGCTTCACGAGTTCACTTAAACTGCGAACGAGAACAAGACTCAGTGACCAAAGACCAGTAATCTAGCTATTGATGCGTCCCAGCCCAGCTATCTAGAAGAATTCCGAGCTTGGTATGGAAAATATATTCTGCAAACAGCCAGAAAACGAACAAGCACTCAAACACAATTTAAAACGTATATATACAAATATATATCATCGATATTGTTATAGTAAAATGTTTTTAAACATGACTCATTAAGTTCATCAATCGACAGGCATTCAAATATTTAATCGATAAGTTCGTCAGTTGACTTCCATTCAAATGTTTAAACATTTAATCGATATGATAAAATTACAAATATGAATTTTGGAGATATACCGTCCCCAACAATAACTATGACAAGGACCACGACAGCTAATTAAGAAATGTGCTTTAGGCCCGCTTGTTTCAGGGGGTTTGGAAAGTTGTCAACAAATTTATGTAAAGAACTATCTTTTATAGCGAAAATTAGCTTAGAACAATGAAGAACTGAAAAACTTCATAATTTGGGGTAATCAAGACTCAACTATTCTGATTTTTTTTTAAACAAAATGTCCTTTTTCTAATTTGCATGATCTTGCAGTAAAAAATACATAAAAATAAACTGTATGTTGGCGAAATAAAATAAAATTGACCAGGTAACTAAAGGGTTATTAACCATAAGGATACAAATTATTTTACAAACTTTGTTACCAAAGTAGTAACTCTACTAATCATACTTTAAAAACCCTCTATGTGACAAGTCAAATTAATTTAACCATGTTCTACTGTTTTATTTAATTATTTTATTCATTTGAAACACATAAATGCTGATGCTAATGGGTACAAAAATAAATAGGCGTTATTCAAATAAAAACATGAAATCTTGAAGGAGTATATGGAGAGGGAATATGATAGAAATAAATAGAAAGGTAAGTGAATGAGATTAGTTTATAGTAAGAGAAACAGTTAGTTTGAAAAAGTACAGAAAGGAAGAATCTTTCCAGTTAAGGGAATTGATTTCACGTTTGTTAACAATGTAAAAAAACACTGGTATCTGTTCTGAGCTGTCTTTGATAACTTCTCAAGCGATTGAACTGCATAATCTATAGGACACCAACCAAGGAGTCACAATGAACTGATAGATGTTCTACATAGAAATATTCCTTTCATAAAGTAATCAAGTATATAATGATTATTATTAATAAAGACAATGTTCTCGATCCTATTTGTGAGTTATATCATAATTGTACTGAATTCCTCGAATAAATTTAATTTCATTAAAACAAAACACAACAATTCAACTTACCCAATTTTATGTCTTGCATCATCACAATCAATTGGCATAGAAATCAGTTGATTACGAAGCATAACAGAAAAATTAGCAACTACAGTTTCCACATCACTATAAACTAGGAAAATAAGAGGGAACTTTTTAGAGGCGAATTATAATATCCGCTTTTTCTGTGGAGAAAAAACACTTTAAACTTAGCTACAATAATTTAAGATCTCACCAAAAATGAAGACAATTGTTTAGCTACAACTTGATGAAATTGTGAGGAGTAAACAAATTGATGTTGTACAGGATTCCTCTTTTTATATAAATGGTGCGCTTTGTTCCTCTATTTATTACCAGGTTTCCCATGGTGGTCTAGCTTCAATTGACTCATGATCTCAACTAATGAAATTACTACAATCTCCACAAAACCCCTTCGGACACGAATTAACATATGCTCACTAGTGACTGGCTTCAAGATGTATATCCTGGAGTTCTAGTGAGAAACAGTGACCAGTGGAGTTCAACCGGGTCGGTTGTGAGATAGTAACTCCTTGATGACAATGGTGGATGTGTCGCTCAATTTCGTGGATTATTTGACGTTAGACATTAACACCGTTGGATGCTGGCCAGATCAGTGGTCTAGTGGTTAAGCGCTCGCGCGCGAGACTGATAGGTCCTGAGTTCGAATCCCGCGAGGCAATGTCGTGGATGTGCACTGCTGAGGAATCCCACAATAAGACGAGACGGCCGTCCAGTACCTCCAGGTTTTCCATGGTGGTCTAGCTTCAATTGACTCATGATCTCAACTAATGAAATTATTAGTTACAGTTAAAACAATGAATTTATATGCTTCAAAATAGGTAAGTAGTGTTTGGGGTGGTTACAACATACTACTTCTTTCAGTAAATCTAAATTTCAGTTTTTACAAGCTGAAGTGCAGCAGTAAGAAGACTATTTTTTGTTGTTGATTTGTTAACCTTTTAAATAAGCTAACGTGTTATACTACTCTTGAGAACAATGTGAAGTCACATATACGCGCAACAGATGCTCCTTAGCTCAAAATTTCTTGGTCCTTTCATTAAATCGCCTGAGAAAAACTATGTTTGAATTAACTAGGACTAAAAGAGAGGATATGATAGTAGTACTGATTTACTATCCAGAGTGGTAATCACATTTGTTTTTGTGTACTTTAATATTTTTCCTTTGTTATGACTTACCCTTAACCTTTTAATTTTCATATATAAATGTTCTTAACAAGTATATGTGTGATCAGATTGTTCAAAATGTATTGCGCAAATACATCACATAATTCTGATAAACTACGTCTTTTCATTGCATTATCGAAATTTATCAAAGGGACTAATTGTTTTAAATTTATGAAAATTTTGTTTTTCATTTCAAAAAATCGAAGCTAGGAGTTTCTCACCATGTAGTCAAAGTGTCTAACGAACGAAACAATAGTTAAATTACATGTTATATTACTTAGGCTGCTAAAAATATATGGTTTTTTACTTTTATTTTTCACCAAGTCTACACTGACGTGTAAAACGTAAGAGACCAATACAACATAACAAAAATTGCTGTAAACCAGAAATCAGTTTAAACATTGTTGTGAATCCAATTGTCTCCATAGTTAAAAACAAAAACTGATATTAGACACTTATTGAACAAGTGCTTAACGTTTAGATCACTGAGTCAGTATCCAACAGTGTATATATGTTTAAATCCAATCAGTTTGAAAAAATTAACGACCAACTTCTATTACATCCGGTAGATAACTATTTCAATAATTACTAAATATACTACTTAATAGTATATTGAATAGTAACAATAAAATGATCACATATTTCAACTTTGTACATCCAATATGCCAACTGTAGAAAAAGTACAGTCAACAGAATGTTTAAGTAATTATATACTGATATAAATAAAAAAACAATCTGTGATAAGCACTTAAAAACTAACTAGTCAACCTATAGTGAGGTAAACGTGTCATCATACTTCTATACAACAATACTGGAAATATCTTGTACAAACCCACTGCAGAAAATTTCACATTGTAATCATTTCCTATATTTATATAAATATTACACTGAATTGAATGGTATTATTTTTAGGAAAGAAATTCTACCATAGATTCAAACTTACTACGACGTAGAACTTCAGTATCTGAACTGGAGAATAATGATTTTGCACGTAAGTAATCATTTAATACCAAATTGTAATCACCCTGCAATAACACAAGCCACATGGAATGGAGGGAAAAAAGGAAAGAGATAATACGATAATCAAATTAAATTTTCAGCTAGGGGTTGTGGAGATTGTTGAATTTCATTGAAATCATGAATCGACTAATGTTAGACCACCATTGGAAACCTGGAAGCACTGGACAGCCGACTCATCCTAGTATAAAACTCAACAATGCGTACTCACGATCCCGCGCGCGGGATTCGAATCCAAGACCTTCAATGTCACACGCGAATGCTTAAAATCTAGACGACTGAGTCGTCATCAAGCGGTGTTAATGTGGTCTAATATTGGTCGGTTCAAGATTTCAATGAAATTAAAATTATTCCATCAAGGAGCTTTAAGGAAATTACTGTAAAGTTAAAAAAATTTAACATTGTGGAAATTGAGCTGATTAACTGCCAAAGCCCCTTCCATCCAAAAATTTCTTATGTAACTGTTTTAAAAAGAGTCAGTACATTTGACTTTGTGGATACTGTTCAATGAGGATTCTAGTGAAAATAGATGACCGAATGTTTAATAATGATACTACTATGATAGACTTTTTTTCCTTTGGATGTTATTCTACATAAACTACTTTTTAAATACTTAGGCCAAAACACTCCTTCGAATAAAGAGCAATCAATTATTAGTGAACAAAGTGCTTAACTTTCAATCACTAGACTCCAGGTTCAAAAACGACCTTACCCTACGTTAGTTTCAGCACCAAGTATCGTCATACTAAGTGTGGATCAAAAGCAATTGTGAATCAACGTCTTTCTAACCAATTTTAATAGAGTACTAAGAACAGAATTTCTACGAAGATTACCATAATTTATTTAAGAAAATAATGTATATAATATCTTACTTTGGATATATTTGTTCGAATAGCATGTGGTAGATTGAACAGAAACTGATAACGTTGCAAAACAGATATAGCATTTTTAATTGAATCACCCCTATCTCTACGTTTTAAAATATCTTCAAATAAACGATGACCAAGTGTACGGGTATCTGAAGTAATTGAAGGATATAAAAGTTATGGTTAAAATCTGTCGAGTAATTGTTTTCATTTAATTTAGTCGTTTTATTATCAAAAGTAAAGCCAAAAAATTTTAGCGTAACAAAACAAAAACCACAATATACTAAGATTTCCATTCTGCGTTCCAGTAGTATGCGAGATAATATTATTATCTTCCCAGTTTAGACTAAAATAAAGTTTGCCAGTAAGTGGTTGTGTGGGTTATTGAATTTCATTGAAATCATGAATCGATCTGACTTAGACCACCATTGAGAACTTGGAGGCACTGGACGGTCGACTCGTCCTAAAACGGTAGTCCTTATTAGTGTGGATCCACGCTACCCCACGGTGGTATCGAACTCAAGACCTTTGGTCTCGTGTGAGGACGCTTAACCTCTAGACCACTGGGTCGAGATTAAACGGTGTTAACGTCTAACTTCAACCAACCCACGACACTGCATGACCATCCCATACTAGGATCAAACGGCTATCCAGTGCTTCCAGGTTTTCGATAGCGGTCTAACTTAGATCATTTCATGATCTCAATAAAATGAGAGCTAAATCTTCAACCCAATATCCAACGAATCGCTTAACTGAACGAGTAGTTAAAACCCACCTGCCACGATTAACAAATGCATTTTACAAATTCGATCAGTGATTTGGACACTGTACAATTGCTTTACTCACTGTTCAACGCCGATATGATGTATCTAAGCATGTGTAACTTTATTTAATCTAATAACTAACTGAGGGGAGAGGAGAGTAACCTTAAACTATCAAGCTGACAAAAAACACTTTATTCCAAATGTCGACATCTATCACAGGCAAATCAAGATTTATAAAAAGATTAAAGTTTGTTTCACATACATAGTTCCCTTTATTATTTTAAAGAGAGAAAGAACAAAGATTGGTGCAGAATAATATGAATTCATTTTATTTCGTCAGGTTCTCATCAGCTGATCACAACCTAAAATATTTGAAAATCAGAACAGAAAGGAGAGCCTATGTTCGATTAAAAGAACATATTCCGAAGAGTTCAATATCAAACGGACTAAAAGCATTCAGCAGTGCCATCGCAATACATCTTGACACAGGACACGAAGTCCATACACTGAAGTCCTTCAAGGTGATTAACAATCAAACTCAAACCTTTTGAAATTTGCCGAAGCGATAGCAATCAAACGTCTAAAACCAGATCCATGTATACAAAAAGAAATAGTAATAAATCCTTATTCGCCCTGGCAACATTACCTCCCCCCCTTTATTTATTTATTACGTCATTCACTATTCCAACTCTTTCTGAATTTTAAAATTACATCATTCATAACTAACTGATTTCAATTCATATCTTTCTTTATTACCGTTATTCTATTTTCAGTTGCTTCATTACATAACCATCTAATCTATTTTTTAATTCCATGAGTTCTAATCACTATTTCATTGTTCTGGAAACTTCCCTCCCAAACTTTATTTATTCGAAACAATAATTTATGACCTCATTAACTCTATCAGAATCTTCGCTACATCATGATACATATATTCATCCTTAATCAACCTCTTATGTATAGAATAGTATTTCCCGTAAGTATCATCATTTCATTCTGTTTGTGTGTGGGCTGTGATACTGCCCGGGTGCCCAAACCGAAGCAGGTGATTTTCTTAGAGGGCCACACCCGGAGCTTTCGACTTACAGGTCTAATCCACAAGGCAGTGGAGCAACGTAAGGAGATGCAGTCCCATGGTAGTCGGTAACCAACAATTGGTTCATACACCATTTGTTCCCTCAGGATACTGGATCCCATATGCACTACTGGTTTGGAATCCGGTTAAAGCGCTGGACAGTCGCCTTTCGTCCTCTCATTTTGGTAAACAACACCCCCACCACGAGAAACCAGTGAGTAGGACTTCCCTGGCAGAGGCTGTATACGCGTGGCCGTGTGAGAGCATTTCGAGAGGGAGGGCGAACCCACCCCACTCTCGGCCATACCAGAGTATTTGGAGGCACCTTCGTGATGTTAGTCTGTTTGTAAAAGGTCAGATCTACAACACGTCGGTGAGAGCAGTTTTGCTCTATGCTTGTGAAACCTGGCCTCTCCGAGTTGAGGATGTTAGACGACTCTCTGTGTTTGATCATCGTTGTCTCCGAAGGATTGCTAACATCCAGTGGCAACACCATGTTAGTAATGCAGAGGTTCGCCATCGTGTATTCGGGCACAGAGACAATAATCCAATTGGTGTCACCATCTTGAAACACCGACTTCGGTGGCTTGGACATGTTCTACGAATGTCGTTCCAGAGAATTCCACGTCGTGAATTATTTGCCGACGCTGGGGCTGGCTGGAAAAAAGTGGAGAGGTGGTCTGTGTATGACATGGTGTCGTGGTATGAAAGAAAGCTGCAAAGGACTGGCTTCTGTTGGCCCTTCAAGACTCCCTGGCTGGGGTCCGAGAGATGGTGCAGAGACGTTATCAAATGTGGCTCACAATAGAAGCCAATGGCGATCCTGCTGTAACCTTCTTTTACTTTCTTAATAAAACGTAATTGTATCTTCCTTAACTGAAAGATTTCTTCTGGTTCTACCTTTCCGTTTACCCTATAATTATTATTACACTACCTTACACTAATCTGTAGTCGTTATTGTTCTTTTTTCACACTCCTTACCTTCCTTTTTCTCTTCATATTCTCATTGTTTTGTGTGGCGCATATATAGTTGGTTCCCCCCTTGTACCAATATTTATGTGTTCAAATAAATAAATAAATTTTATGTATAAGTATGTCAATAACTGTAATAACTCTGATTTTCAAATATTTTAGGTTGTAAGCAGATTAAAGTTTGATAAAAATCATTGCACCATGTAAAAAACAACGAGAGATGTAAGTAGAGGATAACATAATTAAATCATTATATCTACTCATATCATGTTTAGGCTTTAACAACAATGTATAATATTACAGCAACCTATTCTAAGCTATTCATTATATGAATATTCTAGCAAATAATAATCGTTAATGAAAATGAATCCTTACAAATAACGAAAAAGAAAGTACTTCAAATGTACAGTTATCATAAAATACATGGATGCTTAATTGAGTTGTTATCATGTGTAAACACTGAGAGATTTCTTATAAATTAACTTAACATATTAACCACATTACTTTTAAATACTATTCTAATATAATTTTTATTATCGTAATACATACAGTAATAAAATAGTTTTAAGAAAAATGAATAATCTCTACCGTAAAGAATTGATTCCAAACGTAAATCATTGCTGTCATTTGTTTCAATTGATTTTTTCTCGTTGTCCAATCTACGACGTAAACCTGTATAATAAGTATAAAATGAACATAAAATGATAAATATATATTTCACAAAATATAAATAAAAAAACACACTTATTTTATCACAAATTTAGTGTTTTGATAATGGTGTTACTGAGAGCTCATATATACAAACTAACCAAAGATGTTCACACTACAAAAATCTGCACATAAGAAAAAACTAAGTGTCCGTAACCGATGAGATTCATGAAACTGACAACCTGTCATGCCGATTTCGTATAGACAAAGAATAATATGAAATATCAGGGTATAACTGACCTTATTTACGAAAATACACAGACTTTCATACCATAGTTATATTCACTAATAATACATAGATGTTTTCAGCTTACCATCCATTCCATCCAGACACCGAAAAATTAAAACTAGATTTGTTCTAATAACATTGACAGGCTCGCCTGGACCTTCCTGACCCATACTTTGGCGAAAATTTTTCACCGTAACCAATAAATCATTAAAACTAAAATGAAGAAAATTGTTTACATTTCAGAACCACTTGAAAGAATATAAAAAATTCATAAAATATACATTCCAGTTGAGTCAATTATTCACCTTCGAAAGACATTTTCAAAATGAAAATTCCCTCACAAAAATTTTATATTGAACTAGAAATAATCACAAGCAAAATCACTGCAGACTTTCACATCATTGTTAGAACGGATTTGAATTATCTCGTTTACAATCTTGTCTGAATTTTGATCATTCATCGTTGGTAGGTGTGCATACTGTATGAATTACAGCTTGATTAAGCTACTTCTACAAGGAATCGAGCTGATGAGTCCTGAATGGGATCCCAGTGCTAGTTACAAATTCACCACTTCCATAAAAACTTTACACGTGATACATATCTCTAATTATATCATCTCGAGTACTTTATTTCTATGGAATTTCTCATTCACAACACCTTGAAACACAGATAGCATAGGTATTATTGCTATTAAGCACTTGATAAATACAAATGATATGAAATAGAAATCAGTGGAGATATAGATGGTACTATTTTATGTTGATAAATTTCACAAACTCCGGTAACAATGCTTTCATTATTACACTAGAAAGGTTACTCTTACGAAACACATAGGGTAATCAATGTTTCTAATCATATAATTTCATAAAATGTGTGGACTAAATTATTGAAACTTGTAACAAATAGCCTTATAAGTGTACAATGATCATAAAAGGTATAAACAAGCAGCAAAAACCGAATTTCAGTGTACGGAATTTACAAATCTTTCAAATTTTTCATTGAAATCATGAACCAATCTAAGTTCGATTGCCATTTGAAACCTGGAAGCACCGGACAGCCGTTTCACCCTAGTACGGGACTCTTCAGCAGTGCGCATCTACGACCCCGCATGCAGGACTTGAACCCAGGACCTCGGGTCTCGCGCGAAAACACCTAACCTCCAGACCAATGAATCAGCATCCGAAGGTGTTTACTTCTAACTTCAACAAACATTTTTCATTTTCTTCAGTGGATATCTAACTCCCACCCGACACGGTTTGGCTCCACTGGTCACGACTTCTCACCAAAAATCCAGAAATTCCCTGTTGAAGCTAGTCACTAGCAAGCACATGACACTTTCCAGTAAAAAGCTGAAGAGGTTGTTGAGTATTATTGAAATCACGAACCGATTTAAGTTAAAACCACAATTGGAAACCCGAAAGCACTGGACAGACGTCTCGTGTTAGTATGGGACTCACCAGAGTTATAAATACCTCTATTAAACTGAAGACAAAAGGCGAAATAATTACAACCCTACGGATTATCATCAGCTATGATTTACTTGATATGAGCATCTAGTTAAATAGTGAGTACGATTTATGAATCCATTTACTCATGCCAAAACAGACGCTAATTTTAATCAACCAGAATCCTTTTAGTATAAATGTCAACAGTCTCTTTTGATGCAAATCATTTTCCCTCAAATGCCCTGGAATGGCCGAGAGTGGGGAGAGTCCGCTCTCCCTCCTGAAATGTTCTCACATGACCACGCGTATATAGCTACTGCCAGGGAAGTCCTATTCACTGCCTTATCGTGGCGGGGGTGTTGTTTACGGAATTGAGAGGACGAAAAGCAAATGTCCGGCGTTTTAACGAGGCTGGTGGACACGGAGAGTTCACCTAGATGAGTTGGAAAACTCTGATTCCAAACCAATGGTGCATATGGGCTCCAGTATCCTGAAGGAACAAATGGCGTATGAACCGATCGTTGGTCACCGGCTACCATGGGACTGCACCTGTAAGTCGAAAGCTCCGGGTATGACCCTCTAAGAAAATCACCTGCTTCGGTTTGGGCACCCGGGCAGTATCACAGCCCTCATACAAACCAAATGAGATTTGTATGGCGCATATGTGTTTGGTGCCCCCCTTGTACCAGTATTTATGTGTTAAAATAAATAAATAAATAAGTCATTAACTAATAAGACTTTTATGGAAATATGCAGGAAGAGGGTAACAACATGTGAGTCTTGTACTAAACGAAATCTCTTAACTGGATATAATTTCGCTAGTGTTGTTGGAAGTAGTCAAAATATTAGCATTTAATATGCTTCGTGAAATATAAGAACATTACATTTTAGGCTACAGAATTAGAATAGTCAAAAATTGTATAACTGGCAATAGATTATCTAATACTTGGTCTATTTTGGTGATTCGCTAAACAATTGAGTAAGAACTAATAAGTTTTACAAATCTTCTTTTTTATTTTTGTAAGCTTACTTAGAATTTTTATAGAATTTCAGTAGAAACATAACTGGATTGAAATCTTTATCGGCCAAATGTACTGAACCTGACCCTATAATGTGTAAATGTAAAAATAAAATGTTGAATTTGTTTTCAGAAAATGACTTCTACAAGAAAAAAGTTAATAATTTGAAACAACCATAATAAAAATGTTAAATTAGTAGAAAAAAGTAAATGAAAGCAACTGCAAGTTTCAAATTTAGAAAATATCAGCTAATGAAATGAGAAAAACCTATAAAACACTAAAATCTTCGTTTAGTCACTAATTCACTATTGACTTCATCAAGGAGTAAATATAAAAGTATTGGGGATGCTAGATCCCCAGAATTCACTTGATAAATGTCTCACTTTTTAATTTTATTTTTTGAATTTTGATTTCTTGTTTTCGCGCCAAAAGCGCACATTTTCACCTTCACAACGTATTTCCCACTTAAGAAGATCTTAAATGCCATTGGTTCGTTGTATCTTTTAATATGCTATTTTGTAACATTTCCTAAGGACATTTTTTATGCTGTATATATACGCTTAAGTTGTGCTCGCTGTTGTTCGTGCTTCTGTCTGCTTGTGGAGTACATTTTCTTCCTCTGAACCTAGACTTCTCTCTCTAGTTGGTGGGGCTGGGACGCATCGGAATAGTTAGCTTATTTGGTCATTGTGTCGCTGAGTCGTTCCTTTCGCAGATTTAGGTGAACTCGTAATATCTTCAAACATAGCAATAAGCAGAATACACTGAGAGCATGTTACCACTTTAATTCAGTCAGTCAGTAATGATCGAAAAAGAATGACATATCCTACATTCAACCACTTGATCGCAGGTTTGAACTCCATTTCACCTACCTTTATTTTTTCAGCTGGGTAGTAAGCAATAGTTCTCAAATCAATAATACAATTCAATGTTTAGTACATGAATCCTCACTTCACAAATGAGTTACACCACTAGGTATTATTAAATCCTAAATCCATTAGAAAGTTAAACACAAAGATATGTATATTTATGGTAGGATTGTGTCGTGTAGGCTGCACGTACATAAACCCAGGTAACATTACAGACTGATGGCAATGATTTTTCCTGAATTAAAAAGCTTTATGTCTGACATCATAAAAATCACTCTAGTGACATTTTCATTACACTTAAGATATACAACTAAAACACATGATAATCATTAAAAAGCATTACTCTAGACATGATTTGGGACACTAGTAGTGTTCATCAACTGTGAATTACTGGAATGATGAGTACATAAAATGCGCTGTTTCTTAAACAACTATTTTATTCATTTCATTTTAAAACACATCAGGAGTCGCAGAATTTCGTAAATGTACAACACAAATTATTTGAACTGACTTTTAGGACCGGAAAGTATAAAATGAATTCAAATTAATCAATCAAATTCAAGTTTGTGAATCTGGTACAATTTATGAATAAAATGGTAAGCAGATTCCCATTTATACTATAAGGCTAAACATGTGATAATATAAACTAACGAAGATACAGCTTTGAACTATCAATCACCTGCCAAAATGCAATAACAGAATATAAATTGAAGATAATGGATCTGACGGTGGAAGTGTACTGACATCAAACAAATAACTTAGTTGTTAGGATAGTTGGAAAAATATACCAATAATTATCGTGTTAAGTCTATGGTGGCCTTGGACCTTAAATGTACATTTCCTATTGGTCGATGTTTATTTCACTTGTTAAATATTGTGTAAATGTTGTTTTCTATTTTATGGTACGATGTGGTTTGTTTGTTTGGTATATAAATAGAGTATGTCTGAAATACAATGATTCATAACTCAGAGGCTGTGACTCGTGTTCTTGACTCAACTGGCTAGGACAGACAGCGAAGCAGGGCCAATCAGGGCACTAGGTCGTGCACTACGTGTTTCCCGTGTCACTGAAGCAATCGATCGATAAAACGCTGCTTATCAAAAACCTGCAGTCACACGTTACAACATTAGTATAGCAAATCTCGTTCGATATATCTTTTTATCTTGTTACAGTAATGTATAAACAGGTGCGCCGTAGTTATAAAAAGTATACTAACTGACCATCAGATGGTGATTACGAAATTTATCATACGTACTCTCTTCAACATATCATTCCGTTTATTCTATCTGAAATCATTCTTTCAACCGTAATTATGATACTGAACCATAAATCACTCTAGTTTACATTTAGGTATATATCTTTTCAGTCTAAATACGCAGCATATGATCATTGCTTAAACAGAAAAAAACCTGTTTAGTTATTTATTACTGCCCAGGAAATGTTATTTTACAACTACAACCAGCGGTTGAAGAACTTGGATGGTATGACTTCGAATAAACCACAGTACAACAGTTATAGTCTTTATCGTCCTCTAGATTTTTAGCACCAGTACTGGTCTATAAACATCTTTTCTTTTTGTCTTTCCACACCATACTATCAATTCTTATTCTTTCTCATTGTCATCGATTCATTCACAACTTATCTTGTTAATTTCACCTTGTCGTGCTTATGTGGTATGACAACTTGGGCCAACGCATATTTCTCCCAGGCTTTAATCTGATTATGACTGAATCCTATTAAAGAAATTAAGGAACTAATTATGCGTATGATACTAAGAAATTTCTTACGTGGGTATATTTCTCTCAAGGCAGAGTCTGATAGTGGCATACTAATTCGACTCAACTCTGACATTGGAAGGCCGGTGGAATGATCGAGCTCTGCTCCAGGAACACATCCAACAGCTACAGTAGATCCGGATGATCCTGCAGAAGTACTACCACTAGTAGGAGCAACACGTCTATCATCTTCTGGCCAATAAGTTACAACAGTTTGTGGACCTTAACAGTAAAGGTTGTGGAATTTTAGAAAAGAAAATAGGATAACAGGAGTTTCAAAAAGTGAGTAGATCAATTAACAAAATCAGCTCATAAGAATAGTGAAAATAGTATCTGACAAAAAATATCTATAACCAAGAATAGACACTATGGAGAATCCTAAACACGGTAAATACGAAAATTGATGAAGAGAAGAGTTACAGCTTTGAAAGAGATGAAAAAAGCTCCTTATCTTTCGAAAATGTACTTTAATAAGTGTAAGATAAACTAACGATATCTATGGCATTTAACTTACACAAAAAACTCCAAAGATATAAATGTATATATTACTGGTAAACTTATTTAAGCTACGATCACTCACCAGTCTAGTGCGATATTAAATAAATCCTTAAAGAATACGATACGTATCTACTATCTATAGGTTTGTGTAGACAACAACTACTACAATTAATAAGTAACATTTTTCAATTTACTTAATCTAAATAGTTAACTCAAATATACCATTGATTAAAGTTCCGATACTATATGCGGTATTTCAGTCTTCAACTTATTTCATCACAGATACTCCAAACCAGGCACAATAACATAACAGATCAATGTCATGATTTCACATAACACAGGGCATATTGACACAAACAATCCCCAAATGACGAATTTTGTGAATTGCATGTGATAATATGGAATTAATGATGACTTATCTCAAACCTCGTATTCGTAAGCACTAAATAATTTTAATTTCATTTCCGCTTTTCTTTTCTCATTTCTCAAGCCATTCATGAAATTTATGCTGATTTAATATTCTTATACAAGCACAGGTTTATGCATCCAGTTATAAGCCAAACGCTCTATGAGAATAATAGTAATAACACCTGATTGTTCACAACAAAATAAATGGAGTTGAAAGTTTCAACACTGGTTGAAAATCGAGGGGTCTAACTACTCAGCCGAGTGTAGAGGCACTATATTATTGTTGAGAACTCAAGTCTTACTTCTAATATTATGGAATAAAGAAACCAAAACAATACAATAAATGGGAAAAATTGAGATTTGGGCTTAGGTGACAATGTTTAATGTCGAAAAGGGCTATAGCGCAAGCTGAATTAATATTACAGCCTCTAAAACTAATGTAAACAGTAAAGCACGATCATAACTAACTAAACCAACTTACTGACTACGCGGAGGATATTTTGGCGATAAATCACTGCGGCAGTTCCAAAGCCCCCACTATCGGTAACCACAACGATTTCAAGTTCACCTTCTCCCAGTGGTGTAATGGCAGTAAGTTTCTTGGGTGAGAACCATTGAGCACTTCTTCCAACATCTATCCCACCAATGAATACATGTAGAAGATCACTTGCAGTGTTCCCCAAGTTTTCTCCTCTAATGGTCAGTTTTGTCCCAGGGGTTCCTTGGTTTGGAGAAATCCCATTAACTTGTGGAGCAGGACCACTAGGTTTCCCCATTACGGAAAATTAGGAATAGTTAAAAACGTCCTCCTGGGAAATAGTAATAGTGTAAAAACAAAGACTCATTCACTTGTGAAACAAATGTAAACTATGCTATATTACCATAATCTATTTGATTTACAATTGGTAATGAATAATAACAGCTTTAATGGAATACCTCAGCATTCACGCACAGCTTTATATAATGAACTATGAATTAAACCTCTTTCGTGGAGCCAAGTCTATTAATGAGTAGTCTAAACCTCAGTATGCAGCACATGCTAGCGCCGTTCACTAGAGTGTAGGAAGGATAGGAAACATCACACAATCAGTAACTAATGAATATACGAGGAAAGGGAACAGAGTACAGGCGCAACGAATTATATTCTTAAAATTGAATAACGTGATCGGAAGGTAAAGGTCTTTACAAAATAGTTTTATGGGCGCCTCGAAAGTTCAGTTTATTAAGAGTTTGATATCCTTTCTCCAACGCATTCACCCTTTGTCGCCCTGCAGGTAAAAGAACAAGTTCAATGTTAATAATATCATGTGCAATAGTTTTATTTCTGTTACAAGTGTGTGAACTAGACTTTGTGTCTATGACCTACTGATTGACATTCGAGTGTTAAGATCGATGGATCACAGTTCCAATGTTCAAAATGGATAAGCTAGCGATAACAAAGGCGATATCTAACAGACAAACTGTGACTGGAACTCAGGTAAGTAATTACAGAAGCTTGACACCAAAAACGCCATTACCAGTCAGTATTCAAATCAATAACAGCTTTCCCTAAAAACTGAAATATATGGGAACTGCCGTCGATGTAAGATGCCTTGTCTTTTTCAACCTTCTTAACTAAGCTGTTCAAGACCAGTGTGAGCTGGTAAACCTACCAGTAAATTGAACATAAGAGCTTCCTCAAGTGCTTCAAGGGATATTCAGAAGACCATTATAAAGCATTATCTATGGATCAGTGTAAATTATTTGACAATTAAGATGTAATTTTCGATTGTATTGCACTATCTAGCATACAGTATCTAAAGTTAACACCTTCGAATTATAGAAATTTGTAACTACATCAACTTTTTCGTGTCACTTACTGCTGATCTTTCCTGAAATCAGATAGTGTTTATAAATGTAAATGATGTTAGGTAAGACAAACTAACAGACAGTACATCGAAAATATGAAAGGATTCAATAACTTGGATCAAAAGCTAAACAAACATAAATGACGTACGTGTGGAACAGCAGTAGCGATGGGTGATGGTTGTGGAAAGTACTGACGATATATTCAGACGACTGCTGGGTCAGAAGTCTAAATTGATCTAGATTCTCTCTAATACCCCTTTGGGAGTTAATACAACATATTCGACCCCTAGATATGCTCTACCTTATTACATCGACCAAGACCCTGGGTTAACTTCCAATGATGTTGTTGCTAAAGATCAACAGCGAACGAACATTAGACATGTGACCGATTCAGACCACTCTGAGGGATAATGTGATCTCAAATTTTATATACTTCATAATCAGTCAGTCAGTAACGACGTAGAACTTCGTACGAACGTACATCAGTTCGAGTTGCCATACCACATTAACACAGAGATGCAATTGTCGATTCAAATCCCGTAGTGGTAGAGGTAGTAAGAGTATAAACAGTAATCGGAAACATTAGGGCTTGAAGATGTTAATCAAGGAGTACAATCTACTGAAATAAACTTGGGAAGAGAAAAAAAGAGACAAGGAGAATTCAGAAGATTAGAATTTGGGAGAACACAAAGAGTAGACGCACCTGCACCCTTGCAAACGATTTTGAGCCATGTCATTCAAGGTCTCTAACCATCGGTTGCTATCGTCTCGCGGACCCCAAATAGGTAATCTGCACCTACCAACATGGCTCAGTCCACTCGTCAGTGAATTCATGGATTTGTGTCACATTTTGGTTTGGCCGCCCCTAGCTTTCTTCAAACCTATTCCTATACCAGAAAACATCGCACGTCGGTGGTTGGGCATACGTAACACGTGGCCCAGCCATCTCAACTGATGAAGTTTCATTGCTTCATCAATTGATTTGCCATCCTTACCTAGTACACGTTTCCTAACAACTACATTACTTACTCGATGGTCCCAGGATATACGAGCAATGTTTCGAAGACGCATAAGATCGATTACTAGTAACTTACAAATATCCTCTACTCTTACCGGCCATGTTTCACTGCCATAAAGTAGGACGGTACGAACTGCTGCGCAGTAAACACGTCCTTTGTTTGATAGACGGATATCTCGCCTACGCCGAAAAAAGACGCAAGTTGGCAAAAGCTAGTCCAGTTTTCTGTATTCATGCTAAGATTTCGTCACACACCAGACCACAAGGGCTGATGAGACTTCCAATATAAATGAAGCGATCGACACGCTCAACTACTTCATTCCCTATCATTAGTCCGGGTGACGATGCAACCCAATCCTGAACCAACATTTTGCATTTCGAGGGGGAGAATCGCATCCCGAACATGCTTGCATTGTTGCCTAGAGTGGTCAGAAGACTCTGCATTTTGTCAGCGTCTTCATCAAATAGAACTATCATCGGCATATTCTAAGTCAACAAGTGAATCTCTTGGTAGAAGTTCAACTCCTGGAAATTTAAATGAGGAAAGTGTTTTCTCTAAAAGTACGTCAATGGCAAAGTTAAACAAGAATGGAGTGAGTGGGCAGCCCTGACGAACACCACTCGAGGTAATCAATTCTGATGACAGTTCGCCATAAGCTCTCACTCGACCAGTTGTGTTCGAGTAGAGAGCCTTTACAAGGTTAATGTACTTCTTTGGTACTCCTTTCAGTGACAAACATTGCCATAGAACCTCACGATCAACAGAGTCGAATGCTGCCTTAAGGTCGAGAAGTACTACGATTGTGGGGTGCCTGAACGTGTGTGTGTGTTCTAGAACCTGACGTAGTGTGAATATCTGGTCTATACAATCACGTCCAGGTCGAAAACCAGCCTGGTTTTCTCTAGTCTGCTCTTCACGAGCTTTGATTAGGCGTCGAAGTATTATTGAAGCTAATATTTTAGACACTATATTAGTCAAACTGATTCCTCTATGATTGTCACAAGAGGACTTTTGTCCTTTCTTATAGACTGGCACAATCAGTGATTGAGAGCAGTCAGATGAGATTACGTCCAGTTCACAAATTCTACCTAAGACCTAAGTCAATCTCATTGCTAATACTGGACCACCATCCTTAAAAATCTCAGGATTAAACCTGTCAGGGCCTGCTGCTCTCCCTCGCTTCAGATTTCCTATGGCTTTTTCAACTTCGTAAAGAGTCGGAGGACCTACAATAACTTGCCATTCAGGTTGACTGGAGATCGTGGGAAACCGAAGTGTGGCTGAAGGCCAGTTGAACTGATCCCTAAAGTGTTCTGCCCATCGATCCAGTCTCCTGGATTGAGAATGAATAATATGTCCATCTTTCTCTGAGATTGTTTCGCTAACAGTCAGGTTCCTAATTCCGGTTTCCTTAACGAGTCTGAACAATTGTCTGCTATTACCTATTGCCGCTGCCTTTTCCATCTCTTTTGCTTTCGCTACCCACCACTGTTCGCGATCATTGCGTAGACTTCTTGTCAGCTTGCGCTTAAGCTGACTCCACTCCTCATTATGTTCAGAGCCAGGTGGATGCTGCTGAGATCCAGTGTTGCTCCCTAACCTTATGGTTTGCCGTATTAGCAGATATCACTGCTGTTTCCACAGCTTTTCGGATATCATTCCATGCTGCCTCGGGGTGGGCATCACATACATGGCTGCCTAACTGTTTTCCTAGTTGTTCCTGAAATATAATCTTAGCTTGACTATCATTAAACAGGACCCCAAGAGGTTTCCTTGCAGCGTCTTTCCTACGTCCAGTAAGACGCAAACAAATACGTGCTCGTACTAGAGCATGATCTGAATCTAAGCATGTCAGTCAGCTACAACGTAGGACCAGGCACATATGTGCATCGGTCCAGGTTGCCATACCTCATTAGCACAGCAAGATGAACACCGGATTCATAGGAGTGGTTAGGTCAAAGGTTGCAATAAGGATATAGTATAGGAAGAAAGAATTAGTTCGTAGACAGAAAGAATGAAGTTATTTTAGTCTCTTAGTTTAAGGGAAGACAGGGAGTGTATACACCGACGCCATTGTGATCGATTCTGAGCCATGTCACCAAGAGTCTCCAACCATTGGTTACGAAAGTCACGCGGACCCCAACCAAGTAGTCTGCATCTACCAACATGGCTCAGACTAGAAGTTAGTGACTTCAAGCACTGATGCCACGTTTTTGTTTGGCCGCCCCTAACTTTCTTCCAACCATCCCCTACCCCGGTTAGCATTGCACGTCGTGGTAATCGGTGTTCAGGCATATGTAATACGTGGCCCAACCATCTCAGTCGATGAAGATTCATAACCTCATCAACTGATTTACCATCATTCCCTAATACCCTGCGTCTAACCTCACTATTGCTTACCCGGTGATCCCAGCAGATGCCAGCAATATTTCTAAGGCATCTGTGGTCAAATACTAGTAGCTTACGAGTGTCTTCTACTCTTAAGGGCCATGTTTCGCTGCCGTAAAGTAAAACAGAACGAACTGCCGCGCAGTATACTCGTCCTTTTAATGATAGACGGATATCTCGCCTTCGCCAAAGGTGACGTAAGTTGGCAAAAGCCAAACGAGCTTTTCGAATCCGTGCTGAGATTTCGTCAGACACCAACCCATTAGGGCTGATCAGACTTCCAAGATAAGTGAAGTTGTCAACGCGTTCAACTACTTCACTCCCTATCCTTAGTTCAGGTGTTGACCCAGACCAGTCCTGAAGCAACAACTTGCATTTAGAGGGAGAGAAGCGCATCCCAAACATTCTGGCATTGTTGCTTAGTGCTGCCAGAAGACTCTGCATTTTGTCAGCGTCTTCACCAAACAGGACTATGTCATCTGCGTATTCTAAGTCGATAAGTGGACCTCCTGGAAGGAGATCAATACCCGAGAATTCAGTCGACGAGTGTGTTA